AAAATAAATTAATAAAAAGAATATTAAAAAATTAACAAAAGAAAATTTTTTTATTGTCCTACAACTTAGCTACTATTTTTTAAATTCCAATATTGTAAAAAATAATTTTTATAGAGATTAAATAAGATAAGGAAAGCAATTTCAGAAAAAAAATAAAAATATTTTATATCCTAGAGAGTCTTTTATTTTTAAACAAAGTATAAAAGATATTCGAGGTCTGTCCGAGTTTTATCAAGGCCGACAATTAAAAGAAGAACACCTTACAATAGCTGAAGATGAAATTCTACTAGACAACGGAGATTGGGGACTAGGAGAATATTTAAAGGATATATCAGGATTAGGCTGGATTGAGAAAAAAGTCGGGTCTAGTTTCGGATCGGATTTGGACTTTAAAAGAGTCGGTGTATAGGGTAGTGTTTCGCAGGAACCGGAATCGGGACTGAAATTTTTACCGGATCCGAATCTGGAACCGGAACTTTTCAATACAAAGCGGAACCAAAAAATCCCGGAACTTCCAGCCTAGCGGAACCGGTACTTCCGGCGTAACACTAGTATCGGGCCAACATATTTGGATGTTGACCCGACATATTTCAGAAAAATAAAAAAAAGAATAGGTAGACCTAAATTAAATCTAAAAAAAATTTTTTAAAGTTTTATTTCTTTGAAAATAAAAATAATGAAAACAATAAAAGACTAAAAAAAGAAAACAATAAAAAAATAAATGAGTGAGAACCCTGAAATTTTGTAAGGCTGGGAAATTAACAAAAACCGGTCGTTTTGAGCCATTCTTTTTTTTAAATAAAAACGTTACTTTTTTTGATACTAAAAAATAAATAAAAATAAATACACACAATCATCCACTTTTATTTTTTTTTAAACTTGAAAACCTATCATTAAAAGGTTTTAAGATGTTTTGAATGAATCATTTAGGGAAATAAAAGAGAAAATAAAAATTAAAAAAAGTGGAAGAAAAATTATTTTTAAAATATTAATTGTTGATAATTTGAAAAAATTTGAAAATGGGAAAAGCTGAAAAATTCGAAAATTGGCTATTCGAAATAGTTTTAAAACAGTGATAGGTCTAATTAGCCGAAATCTGATTCGAAACCCAACGCAAGTTTTTTTTTTAAACTGGGTCGATCATTGTTCTGAACTTATAAATTATGATGGTACAGTTGAATATTTTTTATAACGACACAATTTGGGAGGGCTTAAGGAATAAAGAAGGAAGGGAGGACGCTTGCTCCAGGACCCTCTCTCCAGCTTAGAAAAGGGCTTGATAGATTCCGTTAGAAAAAGAAACCTTGTTTAATCAGACCTCCATTTTGGACTAAAAATCGGACCGAGACGAGCTCCTTCATTCATAAATCTCAATTTCGAGAATCTAGATCTCTTTGAAATCGACATTTCAACTAGCCTTAACGTTTCCCTCTTCAGACTAAAAATTATTTAAATAATCTCTATAAGGGGCCTACAAAGTTTAATAAATTTTAAACTCTGATTTTTAAACTCTTTTATTTCTTCATAAATTTAAGAGTGCATTAATAAGCCTATTTATTTATTCACATTTTTAATAATAACAAAAATTTTTCCAAAATTGGAGGCATTCATTTTACTCTTTTTGAATTTATTCTTGAATTTTAAAAAAGAACAAAGTTTAATAAATTTATTTATTAAAAACTCTTTATATTTCTGCACTTTTTTAATAAAATAATTTATTATAAAATTTTTTATTTTTTTCTAAAAATAGAAAAATAAATTATGGAGGGTCCTTTAGCTAAAGAAAAAAATTTTTTTCGAATACTAAAAAATTTGGTAAAACTCGATAAAGGCTGCACCCAAAATTGCAAACACTAGATTAAATCTATACTAAAATTTGAAAGATATAAAGAGTAAAAAACAAACAAAATTAAAAAAATTTTACAGAGGAAAACTAAATTTAGATTTCTTTAGTTTGCAGTCCCTTTTGGACACAAAAGAAAAGTCTAAGGCCTCGGGTTTTGTCAATTTCTGGTTGAAATTTATTCGAGGTTCGGAGTCTTCATTTTTGTTCAATTGGTCATTAAAAAATAATTATCTTATGTCTAGGTCCATCAAAATGGTTAGTTATCCGGGATTGAGAAACGTACGAGGTTAATAGGAACCCTATCTTTCCTCATAAAATAAATATACAAAAATAAATGACGACACACCTACATAAAAGAATTTTTTTATTTTTCTAAAAAATTCCAAAAAAATAAAAAGCACTAGAATACACTAAAATGTTTGTTTGTTTATATTATTCAATTTCAAATTTTGAAATTTGATAAAATAAATTTTGAAAAAAAAATATTTTTTTTATTTTATTTTTTGGTGTGTTTATTTTTTATTTTGGGAACATTGAAAAAAATTTTTTTATTTTAAAAAATATTTTTTGAAAGTCATCCAAAAATTGGGGAGGAAAAAAATATAAATTTTATTTTGATATTTATTCTTTTTATGACGTTTTTAAAAATTTTATTTTTTAAAGAAATTGGATGGAGAATAAATGAATAATAAATAGATTAATTTTTTTAAAAATAATTTTTTGGGAAGGATTTTTAAAATTTTAATTGTTCGTTTAAATATCATAATATAAAAATTAAAAAAAAATTTTTTTTGATTAAATTGAAGCTTTATAAATTAAAAAATACAAAAAAATTTAAAAGTTTCGCCTAGGATACACTAAAAAATGCGATGAAAAAACACGTCTTTGTGATACTGCCTCTACGAAAATTTAGCCGAGATTTTTTATCATTTTTCAATTCAGAATAAGAATTTCCTTCTATTTTTCAGTAAAAATATTTTTTATTTTAAATATTGCCCTCAATGATATTTGTCAAATTAAACGACATTTTGTCAAATGCCACAGACAACGATCAATCGCACAAGCCTTGCATGCCCAGCTTATTTTAAAGGGGATCACTAGTAAATCCCCCATCCCAAAAATTAATAAAGAATCAAAATAGCTGCACTACCCGCTCTTAATATTTACTTGGCTAAATTTAATTGAATTATTGCATATTGAGTAGATTTCCCTTTAAAAATTATTTCCCTTTATTTTAAAACTAAAAGAGTCTTAATTTTCTTTGTAAATTTTTTTTATAAATTTTTTTGTGAAGTTCAGACGTGGAAAAAATTAATTCGAGAGAAATACAAAATTAAAAAAATTTTTTTTAATCTTTTTTCCTTCAATTTATTTAACACAAAATTTGTATATAAATAAAAATGAAGAGATCGAATAAATTTTTAATTTGAAAAAAGAATTTTTTTTTAATTTTTGGCACATTGCTTCGTCTAAATTATAGTGTATTATGGCCTGTATTTATTTTTCATGTACCCGTTTAATAAACAAAATTTTACATAAACTTTCTTTTTGTAATTGCCACCAATCGTCTGGAAAATAAAATAAATTTTATTAAATTAAATAAAAAATCAGAATAAATATCAGAATAAATATCAGAATTAAAATCAGAATTTAAAATCAGAAAATAAAATCAGAAAAGTTGAAGGGAGAGGATGGGGCGTTCTGGCGCAAAACAGGTAAGGCGCGCGTCTATAAATGGAAACGTTTCCGAAAACTTTTAAGTATGTAATTTTTTCCTTATATTCCTAATATTCTTAACTACCTACTCTTAAAATTTCAGAATTTTTTGTGCAGAATTTCAAAAGTTATGGCCAAAAAACTAGCAGAAATAGGCATTTTTACTACATTTTTGGCCATATCTTCTGAAATTCTGAACAAAAAATTATGAAATTTTTAGAGGGGTTAGATAACACTATCAAAGATGAATGTACAAAATTTCAAGAATTTTATAATCCTAAAATTTCAGAATTTTTAGTTCAGAATTTCAAAAGTTATGGCCAAAAAACTAGCAAAAATAGGCATTTTTGCTACATTTTTGGCCATATCTTCTGAAATACTGAACAGAAAATTCTGAAATTTTTAGAGAGGCTGGCTAAGACTATCAATGATAAGTGTACAAAATTTCAAGAATTTATCTCTGCTTTTGTTGATTTTATAGCTTTTCGCAACAGTGTCGTTTAAAGAGAAATTAGCTACCTTAAATTCTGTTTAAGTCCCCCTCCACTATTTTTTGGTGTATTTGTTGGACGTTGTTGTCTTTGTTGTTCTTCTTTTTCAACAAAAATTGTATTATTAAAATTTGGATTAATATTCTGATTTTGTTGTTGTTGTGCAATATTTGTTGTTATTACCCTTCGGTGGTGACATAAAGCATGTAAAATAGCCAGATCAAATACTTCCTTTAAATATTTCAGAATTTATTTCAGAATTATTTTCAGAATATTATCAGAATTAGTGGAAAGATGACAAATTTAAAATCAGAATTAAAATCAGAATTAATTTAATAAACGGAAAAAAATCAGAATCAGAAAAATCAGAATTTTTATTTTCAGAATTAATCTCAGAATGAGCACAAGAGAATCAGAATTAATTTCAGATTTTTTTCGAAAAATCAGAATTAATTTTATAATTCCAGAATTAAAATCAGAATTTCTATCAGAATTATTTCAGAATTAATTAGAAATCAGAATTAAAATCAGAATTAATTTCAGAATTTTTTTTTCAAAAAATCAGAATTAAAATCAGAATAATTCAGAATTTTTATCATAATTATTTTCAGAATTAGCACAAAAATCAGAATAAATTTCAGAATTTCATAGTTAAAATCAGAATAAATTTCAGAATTTCATAGTTAAAATTAGAATTAATTTCAGAACAAAATTAAATAAAAATACTTTTAAATTCTGTTGTGTAACAGCAGAACATTCCAGCCAATGCAATTGTAGTCTAGAAGCTAGTTGTCCCATTACGCTCGGTTCTATAGCTTCTCCTCTGCGAGTGTTCATTCTCTGATCGGATTGAGTTCCAACCAATATAACTATGAGGATTTTTTGGTTTTTTTTTTGAATTAGAGGGTTTTTTGAATTAATTCTTGAAACATTTTTCAAAGAGAAATTTAAAAAAAAATTTTTTTCCGAAGTTCAAGATTATTCTTGAAATAATTTATCTCATAAATAATTATAAAAATTACTAAAAAAATAATTTTACTAGGTGCAGAAGGAGCTAATGCACGTATCTCTGGCAGCCAACGTTGCGTAGCTGAACGTAATGTGGATATTTTTGCAACACTAAAAATTAATTTTTTATAATTAAAAAATTTTTCCCTTACTTAAAACACAACAAAAAAACAGAAGCATCAGCATAACCCAAAGGACGAATTGTATCAAATTCTGACCTTCCTGCAGTGTCACACAATTCTAACCGCAAAGGTTTTCCATCTACACAGACTGTTACTTTGAAAAAAAATTTGAAATTTATTATTTCTGGTATTTATTCTTAAAATTAATTCTGAAAAAAATAATTCTGAAATTAATTTTGAAAAAAATTCTGAAATTAATTTTGAAAATAATTCTGAAAATAAATTCTGAAAAGATAATTCTGAAAATAAATTCTGAAAATAATTCTGAAAAAATTATTCTGAAATTTAATTCTGAAAATAAATAATTCTGATAATAATTTAATCAGAAATAAAATAGGTTATTCTGATTTATTAAATTTAATAATTCTGAAAATAATAAAAAGGGTCTTATTCATTATTTCAGAAGATAATTTTATTATTTTTATAGAAATTCTGAAATTAATTCTGAAATTAATTTAATTTAAATTTAATAAATTAATAATGTTACCAGAATAATTGTCAAATGCTGTTGGACAATAACGCTCTAAATTATTTTAAATTTTATTTAAAAATTTTTTAAATTAATTTTTAATTAATTAAATTAATTTTAAAATATTTCTAAAATTTAAATAAAATAATTAATTAAATTTTAAATAACCACAAAATCCATTTCTTGTGTATGACACAACCAAAGAAGTTTTTCCTACACAGGGATCCCCAACTAGTACACAACGAAGATGAAGCATTAAAATATTTTTTATTTTATTTTTATCTAAATTTAAAAAAAAGGGAATAATCTTGAATTTAAGATAGAAAAATTTCAAGTTTTAAAATTTATTCTTCCGCTTTTAATTTGAAATTTACTCAATATACAATAATTCAATTATATCTAGTTAAATAAATATTAAGAGCGCACAGTGTACGGGTTGGGTCATCTGATCGCTTATCAATTTTTGGGACGGGGGATTTACTAGTAATCCCCTTTAAAATAAGTTAGGCATGGAAGGTGTGTGTGAGATTACGGTATATCCTTTGAGTAGTGGATACATATTTGGAGTAAGATTTTATAAATTATTTTTAAATCGGTTTTTATCAAACCTCTATTTCACAAAAAAGGACTAGAAACAAATATTAATTCAGAGCGATACAAGGTGGGAAGAAACAGTGTCGCTGATAATGAGATATCTCCAATATTTAGCTACCGCCAAAATTAAGGAAAATGTCTTTTAAAAATAAAGTCGAACCCCCATTGTAAAAATACACCTTTTGTGATAAAACTGTATTTACAATAGAGTTAGAGAGAGAGGTGTATTTTGTAATAGGTATAGTTACATTCGAGGTCCGACTGAATAATGGCCCGACTATCCGTGTATTTATAATTAAAAAAATTAAAAAAATATTTTTTATACTTATTAAAAATGAAAGAAAAAATTTCACGCATTTACTCTTTCAAAAAATAATAAATAAATAAATTTTATAGAAAATGTTGCTATTTATTTGAGAGGAGGTATAATTAAGAAGAATTTAGATTAATTTTTAATTTTTAGTTTAATGGTTTTTGGTTCTTTTTTGTAAAAAAAAGGCAAAAAAATATTAGGAAAAAAAATATTTTTTCCTAATTTTTTGGTATTTAATTGAATTGATCAAAAATTAAGAGTTTTTATTTTAATAAAAAATTGTGAAAAGAACTTAAAAATAATTAGGTAATTAATATTTATTTTTAGAGAGTTGAATATTTATTAAATATTTTATTAGGAAAATTAAACCATTTTTAAATTATTTATTTTAAATAAATATTAACTAATAATATACCTACATATTACCTATATTTTCCAGAAGGCTTCTATTCATAATTGGTTTCCGGAAATATAGTTTATGTTTTATATTATAGTTTCCGGAAAAGTTACTATTTCAGGTTTTCCTTTAAGTTTAATTTATTATATAGCTTCTATTACCCTTTCCGGAAAGTTTATTTTTATAGTATTTACCGAATTCCGGAAATTTATAAATATGTATATGCATAGCGATATTAATTTTCCGGAAGGCATCTTTTAAATTAAAATTTCCGGAAACTTGTTACTGTTATATAAATTCCGGAAATTTTTTTAGCGATAATATCTTTATGAAAAATTTAGATAGAACTTGGTATAACTTATATTTTTAATTTATCGTATTAGACAATTTATTAAGATAAGAAAAAATAATATTTTAAAAATTTAAAAGGGCAATTAATTCATTTTAATTTAAAATCAATTAAATATTTTTAAACAATTTTTGGATAATTTTTATTGTTTTTAAATAATATTTAAAGTAAATAAAATAAAAGATAACGTCACAAAAAATATTTTATTTACCATAATTAAATTTATGATAGTCTACTAAAAATTAAAAAAATATATTTTTTATATTTTTATATACTAAAGAATATTAATCATTTTATATTTTCTATATTTATTCCATTCTTTGTTTTATTTTTAATTTTTTTAATTAATTAATTTTATTTTTTTACGATTATTTGGTTATTTAAAGTGATCCGGAAAGTTTATTATATCTATATACCTTTGAATATTTATCTTCCGGAAACTATTTAAAAGAATTAATAAAGCTACTATAACTTTTCCGGAATCTATAATACAAAACTTTCCGGAAAAATAAATTTATAATCTTTCCGGAAAAATACAAAACTTTCCGGAAAAATAAATTTATAATCTTTCCGGAAAAATACAAAACTTTCCGGAAAAGATAGATTTATAACCTTTCCGGAAAAATACAAAACTTTCCGGAAAGGATAGATTTATAACCTTTCCGGAAAAGTTTCCGGAAACTATAATATAGAATTTCCGGAAAATTAAATATTAATCTTTTCCGGAAAATAATATTCTATAACTTTTCCGGAAAACTTGTATAAATATAGCTAGTAATATAAACTTTTCCGGAAACCTTATCAGACAAATAGACAATAAATAGAAGCCTTCCGGAAAAAAATAGAAGCCTTCCGGAAAAAAATAGAAGCCTTCCGGAAAAAAATAGAAGCCTTCCGGAAAAAATAAAATATTATAAGAGTTATTTCCATTTTTCAATAGCAAGCTTCTACCATCGCCAAGAATAATTTTAAATAAAAAAGAAAGATGTCAAAAATCAAGAAATAAATTTTATAAATTATAAAGCAGAATACAAAAATCATTTTTATATATTTTTTAACATATTTACCGTATTTTCTCGATTAATTCCCCTGGGGATTTATTTTTTCAACCCTTCCTTTGCATGGGGAATTAATCGAGGGAGGGGAATTATTAGAGTTTTGGCATTTGAACGTGCAGTAGGGTATTTGGTGGTGGGGAATTATTGTTTCAACCCAACTCTAGCATGGGGAATTAATCGAGAGGGGGAATTATTCGAGGGAGGGGAATTAATCGAGAAAATACGGTAATCATTTTTCAGAACAAAAAAATAATAAAGGTTAATATAGAGTTTGGTAGCGACAGTTACCAATTTCCTTATGAATTACTTTGTCTTTTTTTTTTATTTTGCCGAAAAGATGATTGAGTTGACCGATTTTTTTTTAATTTTTAGTACTAGGTGGTATTAATAATTATTAATAAATATTAATAATAAATCGGAAAATGAGAAAATAAAAAAATGAAAGAAAAATTAATTAAAAAATAAATAAAGGAAGTTGAAGAAGAAAAACTGGTAAATAATTTTTTAAAATATTATTAGTTAGTTTTTTTTAAAGTTTTTTTGAATTAGTTTTTTGAAGACTGGCGCCTTTGAATATTAAGCAAGTTTTGTGTTTTTTTTATTTTTTCTGAATTAATTATTTTTTGGACAGTATGCTTCTCAAGAAGGACGTCTGGGCGCGTGGTCATAAAAAAGGGAATAAATTAGTTAAATTTATGAAATTTTGCAGAGATATCCCTGATAGTGTTAGGTATCTACTCTAAAAATTTCAGAATTTTTAGTCAAGTATTTGTCAAGTTATGACCAAAATTGCATGAATTTTAGGTGAGAAACGGGCACTTTTGGCTTTTTTTTGGCATAATTTCAGAAAGAACAAACCAGAAATTCTGAAATTTAATTTTCGAGTTATCTAATAATTTATAAATAAACTAAGACGAGGAAAATAAAAATCAGAAGTTGAAACAAAAAAATTTTTGAATTTATTTTTACTTAATATATAATTATTAGTTAATTTATTAGTTTGTTATTTAATTAAAATAAATTAATTAATTAATCATTTTTGATAGATATTAACTTGAGAAACACCTAGACAGTTTAAGGCACGTGGTTAAACTTAAAAAAATTTCTTGTTTACTATAAATTGTGGGAAATTATTATAGTACCCTGTTCAGCTTATTTTTAATTAAATTTATAAACTTATTAATCAAAAAAATTTCTATAAATGTCGAAATAATTATTTTAAAGTGTTTCTTAAATTTTTAACTGATCAACGATCACCTATTTATTTAATTAATTTTATTGGGACAAAATTTCATTGAAAAAGAATTTCTTGAAAGTTGCGGGAAGGGGTAGGGGATGCCAACAAGGCAGGGGATGCCTTGACAGCAGATCGTTTGAAGTAAAGTATCAGAACTTGAAACTGTCGGAGATTGCTCAAAAGTCGGAAAACGTAAATCGGAATTCCTTTATAAATTTTTTTAACCTCTGCTTAACAATGAAGTTGAAATTGAGAACGAAATAGGAAAAACAATTTCTTAAACATATTTTAATTTTCAAGATATCTAGCGACATCAAAGATTTTCCACAAAAAATTTTTTTCTTGTTAAAATTAAAAATTTATTGCCTCAATAGAGGAAATATTATTATATTTCCTCGAATAACTACCCTGCGTAATTATTGTTTCAACCTATCGTTGGAGGGAGAGTAATTAATCGAGGGAGGGCAATTATTTCAGGAATAGTAATTAATACAGGTTATAGGTAAATTTGAATAGTTAACAGATAAAATAATTATTTAAAAAAATATTCTTTGATAAAATTAAAAGGAGATAAAGTTTGACGAGATTTGATTGTTTTGTTGACTGTTGATTGCCCTCTAATTAAATGCTTTTATATATTGTTAATTGCGATATTTAATTAATTGATAAATGAATTGGTCTATCGCCGAAGCTGGAAAATATATAAAAATAAGGAAAGAGACTGGCAGAAGGAGATGAGGAAGGGGAAGGGGGGATATGTTTGGGCGGATGTAAAAATAAAAAGGATTATTTATGGAAAGGAAAGGAAGGAAAAAATAATTTTTTGGTAAATAATGTAGAGGTTATAAATTAAATTTAATTAAAGTTAAATGTCAGTTTATGGTCGAAGGTTATGTGAAATTTAAAGTGAAACATTGTAAGAAGAACATTGCCAAAACAAACAAATTTTGTGGTTGAAGCTCACTGCTTATTTTGAAGCAGTGTTTCATAGACTCGTTGCCAGGGGTGGACGCAATTGCAGACTGTAGATTTCGTAAAATTGCGTGTTTTTTCGACTTGCGGACTGCGGATTTTTTTCATTTACGTCCACCTCTACTCGTCGCCCCAGAAGCATTTTATACTCGGTAATTCTGAGAAGTACTCCTAGAATTTATTCTTGCATTTTATTTCACAGCCGTAAAATCATTAATTAACAGTCATTAATGAACAGTTATCATTTAGCAGTGGTCATCAAAATCACACTAATAAATAGGAAAGTTTCTTTCATAAATGGATTTCAAAAAATTTTGACTCTAATACAAGGATCCTAGGACTTAGTTAAAGCTATTATACAACTCCTGGAGCAATCCCTCAACCATGAATCCCTCATATCTCTACTTCCTCTTTAGAAAAGTTTGGTCTCCTCATAATTCCTCCAAGGTCCAACTTTCCTCTAGACACTTAAAAAGTGATAAATTTATTTTTAAATACATATCATATAAACGAAGAAACTAAAACTCTCTTTCTTAAAATTTGGTGATAATCAACATTGACTTGCTTTGTCATTTTATTTTATTTATTTCTTGTCATTTCTCGCCTTTAATTTTCGCGCATTCATGCCCTTCCTTTTTATTTTCTCAAAACTAAAATCCTTTTTCTGTCAATTTCTCGGTTTGTGTGTGTGTGTGCCCTCTAGTAATCCATCATTTTGAATATTTAAATATTTTTAAAATTTATATATTTTTTTTCTTGCAAAATATTGCACTTTTTAGAGCAAATAAATTGTCAATTTTTAAATAAAAAATTATTAAAAAAGGTTGCAAATAAGTTGGTAAAAGGTTTGAAAAATATTTTAAGAAAGTTGCTAAAAGTTTGTAAAAAAGTTGGAAAAAAGTTGGTAACAGGTTGGTAATAGGTTGGAACAAGGTTGGTAAAAAGTTGGAGATGTTGGAAAAAAGTTGCAATAAAATAAATAATAAGTTGGGAAAAGGTTGGGAAAAAGTTGGAAAAAAGTTGGTAATAGGTTGGAACAAGGTTGGTAAAAAGTTGGAATAAAGTTGGTAAAAAGTTTCTAATAAGTTGCCGAAGTTGGGAAAAAAAGTTGCAATAAGATAAACAACAAGTTGCCAAAAGGTTGTAAAAAACTTGGAAGAAAGTTGTAAACAGGTTGGAAAAAAGTTGTAAAATTTAATTAAAGTTGGAAAAATATTTGGGAAAAAGGTTTGTAATGTAATAGAGAAAATAATTAAAAATAAAATATTTCCGGAAATGTTTGACTGCCCTACTTTTCCGGAAAATTATTTTTTGGACGCAGTCTTTATTTGGGCGCTACTTTTATGTTAATCAACATATCTCACTATTTAAAATAAAATTAAAGGAATTTGAGGAAGTAGAATATTTTTACATTTTTCATTTAAAGATGAGTAAGAGATAAGAATGCAAAAAATAAATAAAAAAATATAATAAAAAAATTGTGTACAAATCGTCGTCTGCCTCACTTTTTTATACAAGGTAAACAAAAAACTGGAATAATAAATAAAAATAATTAAACAAAAATAAAAAAATAAAATAAAAAGTGGGTATAATTTTAGAAAAAACAGACAGTAATGAAGGGGGTGGGTTGAAGGCAATTCAAATTACTGTGATAAGGGGTGGGGTCCAGACATGCACGAAACGTTTCGTTTCGTTGTTTCGTTAGTTTCGTTATGTTTTTTCCTGTTTCGTCTCGTTTCGTGACGAAACACTTTTTAGTTTGTTTCGTTTCGTTTTGTTAACGAAACACCTGTGTTTCGTTAACGAAACATTACCCATTTTTTAGACCAAAATATTACCCAAAAACTGAAAAATTTTCCCCTTTGATGCTCAAAATTCAAAAAATTTTTGCCTGCGGCGCTGAAATCTGGATTTTAAGCGCCTATGGCGCATAATTTACCATATTTTTTTGAATTTCTCGTTTGATTTTGTTTTTTTAATATGATCTACCTCTTAATGCCATTCAGGGCAGGCGCAAGAGTTTCAATAAAGTTTAGTTTCAATAAACGAAAACGCAACTGATGGCAATGATCATGAATATGGTTGTCTTTTTTCGGGCCTGTTTCTATCGAGTCGGGCCAGACGAGTCTTTTCGGGCCAAATATCTTAAGCCCGACTCTATCTTTTGGTCCGAGTCGGTCCATTTTGGCAACCCTAATCATGGGCGTTGTTATTAACAAAAATATCTGAGTTGAGAAATATCATTGGATTTGGCGGGAGCAATGGTGGTATAGGAAATTGGGAGAGAGTAAACGATGTATCGGTGGATTTGGAGGGTTTAAAATTTTTTTTAAAATGTCGGGAATCAGGAACGGTTTTAGGGGACAATAATTTCCGACAAAATTAATTCCCGATTTTAGGGAATCAGGAAACGGGTCGGCAGGTCCCTGATATACACATATTCTCAACACATAATTCGATTAAAGTCGATTTGGTGGAATTAAGGCTGATATAGTGGATTATGAGTAGCCTGGGACCAAAATTTAAGGTCCACTAAGCTATTAGATCAATTATAGGCCATATTAACGTGTTTAAAATCGAATAATTAAGAAAATAAAACCGTTTTTATTAGATTTTTTGAAAATTAAAATGTTTCGTTTTGTTTCGTTTCGTTTCGCTAAATTTTTACTGTTTCGTCTCGTTTCGTTAACGAAACGATTTTTAAAAAATTTTGTTTCGTTTCGTTTCGTCTGAAAAAATTTTGGAGTTTCGTGCATGTCTGGTGGGGTCCTTGAAGAGATATAAATGAGTTCCATTCTATGTGGGACGTTTCTGAATTTAATTTAGACTGAGAATCAATTTTCTTGGGGAACGGGGGCATGATCAAGAGGAACCCTTCCTCTTCTCTGTGGGCTAGGAATTTTCCTGATAGAATTTTCCTGTCCCTCCCGAGGAAACCATATAAATTTGTAAACTTTATTTTTACATGAAAAAGTAACAAAAATAACTGTAAGAAATATTAATAAAAACACACGTCTTTTATTATGTAAATCGTCATGGAAACGACGCATTTTCCCCCTTTTATTTGCCCGACAATTGGAAATAAAATTTATTCTTAAAATTATATTTTTATTTTAAAATGCTAAAATGTCAACAAAAAATAATATTAAAGTAGTAAATAAAAATATCTCTGCAGAACGTTTAGGCTTACTTAGAGAAGAATGTCAAAGATTAGGGAGAATTTTGGAAGAACAAATTCAACAACACTATTATAGGTAAATAAGTTTTAATAAATTAACGGAAATAATATAAAATAAATTCCGAAAATATAAACAACTTTCCGGAAATATAAAATATATTCCGGAAAAATTAATAGAAGTAATATTAAAATTGATACCAGAAATAAAAACTTTCCTGAAATATATAATATAAATTCCGGAAATATAAAATAAATTCCGGAAATATTATATAAAATAAATTCCGGAAATATTATTATAATATGTATTTTCCGGAAAACTTGATACTTTTCCGGAAATAATATGAAAATTTATTCCGGAAATATTATTATGTATTTTCCGGAAAATTTGATATTTTTCCGGAAAAATTATTATAATATGTATTTTCCGGATTAATATTTTTTCGGAAATAATATGAAAATTGATACCAGAAATATAAAACTTTCCGGAAAAATAAAATAAATTCCGGAAATATACTGATAGAATCTTTTCCGGAAAAAATACATATAACTTACTGAAGATAAAAATAAATTCTGAAAATATAATAGTAGAAACTTTTCCTGAAATATAATATGTTTTATTCCGGTTTATACTAAAGTCTCAGTGACAAGTTATAAACATTAAAACCTTCCGGAAATACTTTAATAAATAGGAAAACCTGATATAGGTATTTAAAATAAAATTATTTTTAGATGTGGAATAAACATTAATTTCCATCAACAACAAAATAACGTAACCAATAGAAAAGCTTTAGCAACAATTTTGAAAATCAGCAAACCTCCTCAACTTCCAGAAAAATTAAAAGAAAAATCCCCTTCTCCACTAAAATATTCCCCTCCTCCTATTTATCAATTTAAAAGAAAAAATAATTTTTTAAATCAAAGTCCTTCCCCCTCAAAAATTTTTTATAATTTTAATCAATTTATTTTTCCACCAATACAAAGATGGCATCCAACAGTTTGGCCAACAAAAAACAGAAATCCTCCTAAAAATAAATTAAAAAATAATTTAATAGATGAAGTGAAAGACAGTGTTTCTAAAACCCGTATTGTTGAATTTCCTGCTAATGCTACAATTCCTAAACCTTTTTGGTTCACTAAACGGTAGAAATTAAAATTATAATAAAAAATTTCCGGAAGTTAAAGATTTCCGGAAAATTAAATAATTTTCAATGTTTCCGGTTTTCTGGTTAAGTTGGTTAATTTTGTAGGTTCCTTATTAGAGATTTTCTGAGGATGATGGTTCGATGCCTTCATGGTTCTAATTAATTTTCACGGTTTTTCGCGACCGTATTTTTACTTTTGCAACATTTTAATTTTTTTAAAATTAAAAAAAAAATTATTTTGTAGTGCCCGGCGCCGGACCGGATCCGGCCGGATTTTTCCGGAGTCCGGGTCCCAAATCCGGGTTTTTTTGAAATTTCCGGATTAAAACCGGACCGGATTTATCCGGAAAAATCCGGCCGGATCCGGTCCGGCTCAAGTTGCAAATCCGGAATCCGGATCCGGGTCCGGCAAAATCGATTTTGCCGGGCACTATTATTTTGCCTATTTTATACCTAAAAATTTCTTTTATTTCCCCATACTAGCCCTCCAATCCCTTGTATCTATGCAGAACGTCACTTGCATCAAATGATGGAAGAAAAGCGTCGAGAAGACCTCCAATTCAAATTGTATCGTTTCCGAGCTCGTTCAGTTCCATTGAGTACATACAGACAACCCAACTTTGATTGGAAATCAAAAAATCAAAGGTTTAGAACGCGCTCTCTTCCCTCGAGAAGTTTAACTTCCGCAGCCTATTCTTCCTCTGATTTTGCTTTGAATGAGAGGAAAGCTAATCTGCATACTCGATCACCTCCCCTCTCAACATATCTAAGACCCTCAAGTTATAGCCAATCAGTGGAGGAATTGAGAGCATTGAAGGCACAAAGAAGAAGTGTTGGACTTTTATCCAAAGCTCATGGACCTAGTGGGGTTGAGGTAAATTAGAGAGAAATGTAGTCATACCTCACTTATAAAATACACCCTCGGGGATGAAAAAATCGTATCTTATAATGAGCTGTATCTTAAATAGAAGGTATCGCTTAGGCAACACACCCCCTCCCCTCACCTTCGATTTTTTCTTAGAATGTACATAATGGTCAGACTTTCTCTCATCTATGCCATCTGTTTCCAGATTCCGAAATCAAGACCTATGCCAACGTTGAGACCTCTAGTATTGGGTATATTTTAATAAATGAGGTCCAACTAGGTCAAATCTCATTTTGAAATTACAGGAACACTCTATAAGATGGAGAATTCTTTACAAACTACGCCATTCCCAGCAGTGTTTGGCTCCTTTCAGGCCTCTTTCTACCAGTTTTAGAGCTCAAACAATGCCCGACTTTGTTAAATTACAAGAAGAATTTAGCAGAAAATTGGCAGCAAATAGAAGATTTAGAGCTAGCACAGTGCCGAGACCCTTCCATTTAAGCGAACGAAGATATAACGGAGAAATACGAGGGCATAGTTGTGAAGTAATTTGGAAGGAATTTTAAATTTTTTTTATTTTTTAAATTTTAAAGAGTTGGACAAGAAAAGATAGGGAAGATAAAAGAAGAAATATGGAACCAGAAAAAAGACAAGAAAGGGGAAGAAAAGTGTGGAGGTGATTGATAATAAACAAGAAAATTAAAAAAATAAATGGTGATATGTAAAAATCATAGATTTGCTAGTTTTCTAATTTAAAATTATTAAAAGTGTTAAAAATAATTAATATGTAGGATTAAATTTAAAAACTTTAGTCTATTCCTAGTTCTATTTCCTAGTTTATTTCCTAGTTCCTTTATAACTTATCACGTTTTACTATAAAAGCCCTTCTTTATCCTCCTCATCCTTTTTCTAAATCCAAAATAAATTGCCATCAGTTCACCTAAAATGCATCAAAGCTTCGTCTACATCGACTCATCTCTACTCGCGTTGGCATTACTCCTATTTTCAATACTTCTGCCGGCTTATTCATGTATCCACTGCATCAAGAAGAAGTCGACGAAGAAGTCAAAAGGCTCAAAATCAGAAGACGAACTCGTCAAGTCACTAGTAAAGAAGTTGGACAAAGCCAAGAAAGAAATGAAGGCTGAGACACCAAAGAAGCCTACCTTGGAAGCGGATGGGGCAGCTAAAGTTGAAAAGAAACCTGGGGGTGGCAAAGGGGACAATTCTCCCAAAGATGATCAGCTTCTTCTACAAGCAAAGGGGGGAGAAGTAAAGAAAGCTCCACTTCCCGCGGACAAAGGCAAGGAAGAGGGAAAAGAGGTTAAAGCTTCCTCACGTAGTGATATCATCAGCATACCTATCGGTGTCAGCATTGGACAATATAGGGTGGAAGAGGCTTTGGGTTCTGGTGAGTTGTTGGCAATTTTTGGTGAAAAATTCGTAAAAAAATTTTCAGGCGGCTGTGGTGTTGTCTACAAGGTCAAAACAAAAAGTGGCGAATATCACGCAATGAAACTTGAACGAACGGACCAGAAGAGGCGAGATCAACTCCTTCCTTTAGAAGCGCACGTTCTCAAGCAGCTACAGTTTACTGACTACGCTGCAAAATTTATTGAATATGGAAAATGCTCATGTGGGTTTTTGACCAAAAATTTTTTAAAAATCTTTCAAAAAATTTTTTTGTTTTTCAGCAAAAGACCTGTCATTTCATGTACTTGTTATGGCCCTTCTAGGCAAGTCTATAAGTGATTTGCAGGACAAGAGACCTAAATTCAAGTTCACAACTGGGACCGTCCTTCGAATTGGTTTGCAGGCGTTAAGGGTGGGGAGGCTTATCTTCTACTAATATCTCTCCCTTCATTTTCAGGGAATTGCCTTTCTTCACAGCATTTATTACGTTCATAGAGACGTCAAGCCGTCCAATTTTGCCATCGACCGAAACAATCAGAAGAGAGTTTATCTGATTGATTTTGGACTGTCACGGTCATTGAGGAAGAGGGCAACAAAGCTTTTGAGGAAGCCTAGAGCAGGTGTGCCCTTCCGTGGAACTCCAGGCTATTGTAGCTTGAATGGTGTGTTTTTGACGAAATTATCAAGAAGAAAAACATTTGTCATTTTCAGCGCATAAACGTGTCGAGCTTGGCCGTCATGACGATCTCTGGTCTCTCGTCTATATGATGGTTGATTTGAACAACGGTTCCCTGCCTTGGTTCGGTCAGGAGAATAGAGAACATGCTGCAGTTTTGAAGGAATTTCTGATTGAAAGTGAATATATGCATGTCTGTTACCTGACTAATTCACCCAAAAATTTGACAATTTCAGGGCTGTCCACTCGCATTCAGATCAATCATGGACTACCTCCGTACTTTAACCTACAAGCAAAGACCCGACTATCACGGCCTGGAATCCATCTTTATTCAAATGCTTGAAGCACGGGATATTAGCAGCAATCAGCCAATGGATTGGGAGCCCCTTTATATAAAGAGGCCGGAGGAAGTAAGAAAGCCGTCAGCTGTTAGTTGACCAATTAGTTATGAGAAATTAATTTTTAAACATTTTATAGGCCAAAAACCCCAAAGCAACCGATACTGTCGTTGATTTGGCGGATAAAACTCAGGACTCCAACACTCCACAATCGGGATCTGGATAACTTGAAAAGCATCTTGAAGTATATATGAATATTGGAGGATATCTATAAATTCACTATCTAATTGAATATATATTTTTGAAATTGTTTGTCGTCTTTTCTTTGTTATAATAAATTGTAGAAATAAAAACAATTGTTTAATTATGTATAATACTGATTAGTATTTGTATAGAGCGAGATTTTCAAAAAAAACCTTGACCTTGTTTTCGGTTGGGTACCTTGACCAGATTCTTGACCTTGAGTCAAGGAAAAATCAAGGAACGCTGAAAAATGCCTTGATCTGGACTCTGGACCCAGGAAAAAGCAAAGTCTGGAGCTAAACTACAGTTTCCTTACCAGGCTCAGAATCTGGGGCCAGATCCAGCCCGCTCTCTAAGTATTTGTATCATCTGACTCACGCAGAATTCTGATTTTCTTGATTCATCTGTTCCGTATTTTGTCATTATTCACCTATTTTACACCCTTAACTTCGGCCTTATTTTAAAATGAATAGTTGGGCTTTCCTATAAATTTTCCTTGCGGGGCCAATAAATGAAGAAATCTGATTCTCGGCCTTCGAAAATTATCAAAAATGAAAAAATTTTCATCTTCCGACTTCCAAAATTCTCAAAAGTATCCTTTACTCAAGAGATAAATTGTCCGTTTAAATAAAGGAGGATTAAAAAAGGCCATTAGCTGTTAGTCCGATTAGTTTGGAAAAAATTTATTTTCAGCTTTTCCAGGCTAAAAACAGCTTACAGGCCTAACTTATTTTGAAGGGGATCACTAGTAAATCCCCCGTCCCAAAAATTGTTATACATAGAATCATAATTAGTAAACCGTGCGCTCTTAATATTTACTTGACTAAATTTAATTGAATTATTGCATATTAAGTAGATTTTGGGTGAAAAGGGGAAAAATAAATTTTAAAACTTGAAATTTTTATTTTTTAAACTCAAAAATTATTCCCTTTTTTAATTTATGTAGATAAATTTTAAAAATTTAACAATCTCCAGTTTAACAATCTCCACAATTTAAAATTCACCCCCCCCCACTCCGAAATCGGGAATTTTGTTTTTTTTGTCGGCTCGTTCCCTGGTGTATACTGTAAAGCATATGACTATTTAATTCCTAAGACTGTGCATTACACCACGTAGACGACTGTAATGGCTAACACATCAGTCCGGTCTAGTGAAGATGCTGGTTCGTTCCCAGCCGCCGAATAACCTTTTGGACTAGCTAAAGGAGAGAAATAGCTATAGCCCAGTTGCTTTACTATACCCCGAAAACCCCAAAAGTTTTTCGGGTCGGGGAGCGGGGTTTTTACTTTTTTCGGGGCGGGGAGAATTGTGAAAAAATCGTTCGGGAATGGGGATAGGGTACTATTTAAGCAGCCCTTTTTTAAACTTAAAATTCCTTCCTTCAAACTTTTAACAATCTCTCCACAACCATTATGAACTTTCTAAGGCGAACATTTTTTGGATTACCGCGTCAAGCATTGCCAGATACTACGGATTCTCTTCAGTCAATGATGTTTGTTGATGAACACGGAGAAATTACATGGGAATTGTGTGAATGTGCTGTTTCTCTTCCAAGCAAAAAACTCTTAATTGGGCCTTGGTAGAGTTGATTTTTCTTTTAATTTTTGATTTTCTCTTTTTCAGTATTGCAGCTTTTAGCGGCAAAAACTCTTATAAGAAGTCACAATTCATTCCTATCACTTTGCATAATGATTCAAAGCATGAATGGATTGTCTTTAAAGTGCAACATTATGAAGTGAGTCAATTAGAGATCGAGAATTTTTGAAAAGCCTGGACTTTCCTAGACTTTGGAGTTTGATTTATTAACCTGGGCCTGAGCCTGTAGTCCAGGAAAGCCTGTAGTCCGACTGTAGTCCTGGGCCTGTATTCCAGGAAAACCCCAGGAAGGTCAAAGAATGCCAGGACTTGGATTCTAGGTACAGGAAAAACCAAGGCCTTGGTCCAGACCCAGCTCGATCTCTAGTATATTTGGAGCTGTTTTGGCTGTTTAAAAAATTCTTCCCTTATAGCCAAGAGACCCTTTTATGGCACAAGAACAACTTGCAAAACTTGAAAAGGCCTGTGTTCCTTTAATGGCTTCTCCTAATGTTGGATTAATTGGGCCCGGACAGGACGTGGTGTTCAAACTTATTTTGCCGGATCGTAATATTTGGCCTGTTAGTCGGTGAGGACATTTTTAAAATTAAATTTAGGGGACTTATTTACTTTGGGGTACCTACCCCAATTATTCCCAATCACCCCATTTATTCCCAAGCCAGTAATACCCATGGCACTGTTCCGAAACAGATTTTAAAAGGCGAAAAACGCGAAACTATCACATCCCTGGTGCACACCTATGTCCCTGTAGATAAAGACCAAGCGACTTTGACCATTTTGGGCTTGCGAATAAATGTGGTGGGTACCTAACAGTTGTGGGCTTACAACTAGTCTCTATCTCGTGAAATCTCGTTTTTTAGAGGTTTCGTATTTTGTGGGCTTAGCCACCCCTGGTACCTAAGTAATTCGATTAATTTTGGGCATGATTAAATTTTAAGAGAAGCAACTATTGGCAAAATGGGCTACTTTCGTATTTTACAAATGCAAGTAACTGATCCGTGGGAGGTATTAAGTGCGTTTAGCGGTAATAATACTTCGCTAACAAGAGGGATTAAACAACTCTTTGATGCATTAAATACTGCTAGAAGCTGTGAGGATGCTTTGGAAAGGGTCTGTTTTGAATTAAAAGTTGGTAAATTGAACTTCGTACCCCTCCTCTCCTTTTTGGTCAGACTTATCATGTTACAAACCTTATCTATGGATAAGTACCCAGCTCTGTTTTTTGGAACCCATGCCGATGTTGGGTGGGTGTACTATTAATTCTATTCGTAATAGGCTAACTTGTTGACCATAAAATCATTTTGGGACTCACCCAGAGTTCTCACCGAGTTGGGGACTCACCCAGCCTACTCACCCAGAGTTCCGCTACACAAGCCCATTGCCGGATCATTGGTTAAAAACGAAAGGCTCTGGGTAGTTATCACCATAGAAAGGATTTTAACACATTAAGACTGACTGACCATCTTTTGGAACGAAAAGGGGTGAGGGTGTACTAAGTCCAATTTTACCAGTAAAATTAAAAAAAATTCTTTTTAAAGATTTATTCTTGCGATGTTCCTTTTTTCCTTCCTCTGTGCCCTATAATTCTGTCTGAAACAAATTTGAATGTTGGAGCGAAGGATAAGGTTAAGAAGGATGAACAAAACAAAGTTTAAAGAATATATACTATTTCTGTAGCTTTTTTTTGTTTTGTGGCTAAATATTTATGTATTTGTGTCTGTAAATATCTGGAAAAGATAATAAAATAGTTTTTCCTTTGATTTGATCAGGGTTCTTATCCGTACTTATTTTTGGAAGTACTTACAAAGTTGGAAATGTTCTGAATTTTAAAATTCTCAGTATTTTTGCCAGTGTCGCTAAAATACTGTAAAATACTCAAACTGGCCGCACTGAACTGGCTTTACGCAGTTTAGAAGGGTAGGGGACGATTCAGTATCGCCAATTCAGTATCGCCGATTCAGTATTGGCCGATTCAGTATTCGGGCTTTTTGTCCATAACTTTCTGCTCGATCAATATTATAGGAATTATTATATATGATTTGATAGGTCTCGGGGTGTCTCATCTTTTTCATAATTGGACTGATCTGATCACTCTACAAAAAGTTATCACTGATAAACGACGTCACAGGCATAAAAAATCGGTTTTCACGCTGTAACTTTTTTTGTGATCATCAGATCTGATCGGGCCAGTTATGAAAAAGATGTCGAATCTCGAGACCTTTCGAATGATATGGGAATTATTCAAATCGGTCGAATTTCAGGAAAGTTATGGCCATATACTGAATCGGCGGATACTGAATCGGCGATACTGAATCGGCTATACTGAATCGTCCTTAACCGAGTTTAGAAAAAACGAAAGCCGTTTTGCTGCTGCGATCTATTAAAAAACTTTTAATTGTGGATAAATTTACTTTTTATTTTTTTGTTTTGTTTTTCATTTGTTTTTCACAATTTACTTCACTTTTTTCTAAATCTAAACATTTTTCTTAAGGTTAAATTTCGATATTTTTCTTGGTTAAGCGTTTAAGGATATTTTATCAAACAATTTTTTCAATTTTGGCTATTTAAAAAATGTATATTAAAGAGGTTTGGTTTTGATTTTTATTTAACTTTTTATATTCTGCGGACAAAATATTCTTCGTTGTGGAACGATTCCTTTTTTAATTCCATAAGATACATTTTGTGGACATTGCCCCTTAATTGAGAAATTGTCCGCAAATTGAAAATGTCCGCAAAAAAGAAAATGTCCGCAAAAAGTAAATGTCCGCAAAAAAGAAAATGTCCGCAAAAAGTAAATGTCCGCAAAAAAGAAAATGTCCGCAAAAAGTAAATGTCCGCAAAAAGAAAATGTCCGCAAAAAGAAATTGTCCGCAAAAATGAAAATGTCCGCAAAAGGAAATTGTCCGCAAAATTGTCCGCATTTTTTTTTCATTTTTCTAAAATTTTAGAACTTCATTTTTTGTTTTCAGATAAACATTACCGGATTTAAAAGCTACAAGGACATTACAACAATTCGCGATTTATCGCCCAAACACAATGTGGTTATTGGACGAAATGGGAGTGGGAAAAGCAACTTTTTTGCGGCAATTCAATTTGTTTTGAGTAGTGAATTTACGTCAATTACACAACATAATAGACATGCATTTTTACATGAAAGTGTTGGGGCAAAGTCTGCTACTGCAAAGGTTTTGGATTTTTTGAATTGCAAATTTTTTTAAATGGGCAAGAAGACAAGGTGCTTTCTGCTGACTTTTCTCCTCCCGTTAGTAGTAGAGATCGAGATTTTTGAAAAGCCTGTTCCTGGGGTCTGGTTTTGATTTATTGACCTAGGCCGGATCTTGGGCCTATAGTCCAGGAAAAACCCAGGAAGGTCAAAAAATGCATGGGCCTGGACTCTTGGTACATGGTAAAACCAGGTCTTGGTCAGACCCAGCTTGTGCTATAGTTAGTATTTCGACTTGCGGACAAAACTTGCAGATTATTTATTGTGAATACTCGTTTTTTGGGAGAGATGAAGGTTTACTCCGAAAGCAACCCAAATCGGTGTTAGTCTGTTTTTGCAAGTGATAAAATGAAGGGAGTGTTTATCCGCAACTTTTGTCCGCAAATTTTAAAATTTTTTGGATAATTTTTAAAAATTAAAGAGGTACTCTAAAAACAGTTTTCAAGATTTTCGCCCATATTTTAGCTTTCCTTGTATTAAATTTTAGGTAGAAATAGTTTTTGACAATATGGACCATCGCATTCCCACAGAAAATGAGGAAGTTCGAATTGTACGTGCACTTACAATGAAAAATGACACATATTATATTGATGGGAAAAGTGTAACGAAAACTGAGGTTTTTTATTGAAAAGTTTTTTTTATTAAAATTTTTTTAAGATTGTTAATATGATGGAATCTGCTGGTTTTTCCCGTTCAAATCCTTATTATATTGTTAAACAGGGAAAGGTAAATTTTATATATTTTTTTATTTATTTATTTATTTTAATTAAACAAGTTAGAGTTTGCTATACACGATCGAAGTCGAAAAAGTTGTATGGGGGTATCTTTAATAAGTTGAGAGTATCGGTTAGGAGGCTTTCCAACCTAGAACCTAGTTTTAAAAAAGCCTAACCTAGTTTTAAAAAAGCCGCTTAGAGGTGTACAGTATTGGAGGGGGTATCTTATAATGGGGTGTTTCTTAAATAGAAGGTATTATGTTCGGGGGTCCTCTACTTACAGGCTAAACAAAAGGTAATAGTTAAGAATTGGAGAGACACCTTAAAACACCTTAAAAATATTTTTTTCTCTGAAAATAATTTCATGTAGGGAATCGACCATACTGATCACGAATCTGACAATGAGCTTACATTAGAATATGTCTTTCGAACCCCGGACCCGAATCCGACACATTCGAATTCTGGGTTAAAATTCGATATTAAAAATTTAGGGCTAATCTGACACTCCTATTCGATCTCAGATTCCTGATCAGCATGGTCGATTACCTAAATAAAATTATTTTCAGAAAAAATAGAATAATTTTTGAGAGATGTCTCCCCAATTCTCCACTATTACCAGACAAAACTAAAAAAAAGTATCTTAACATGCCAACTTCCCTCATCCACTGGCTAACAATTAACCAAATTAAATGATCAACCGTTCTTTAAAAAAATATCTTTTTTTAACAGATAACAGAATTGGCAACAGCTTCGGATGCTTATCGCCTTAAATTAATCAAAGAGGTATTTTTCCTTAATTTTTAAAAAATTTTAAATCAAATTTTTAGGTTGCTGGAACTCGTGTCTTTGATGAGAAAAAAGAAGAAAGTACAAAAATATTGACCGAAACACAAGGAAAGATTGAAAAAAGCGTTACTCTATTAGGCTATATAAATGAACGTCTTAAAAAATTGGAAGAAGAAAAAGAGGATTTGAAGGAATATCAAAAATGGGATAAAATGAAGAGGTTTTTTTGAGTTTTTTTAATGAAAAAAAATTTTTTTAAAGGTCTATCGAATATACAATTTTTGATAAAGAAATAACTGAAGCTAAAACAAAATTGGAAAAATTAACTGATCAGCGAACAAAAATAAATACGGAACAAAATAAGGTTTTTAATTTTTGAAAAAATTTTTTTTGTGTTTCTCTCAGTTTTTGTTTTAAATTCTTTCTCTTGAGAATCTCTATTTTCTGAAATTATTTTGACAATAGAAAAAGATTTTTAGAGAACACAAAAAAATTTTTACATTTTTTGAAAGATATGAAATTTTTCGGTAATCTTCTAGTTTACTGGTTTCGAGAAAAATAAGGAAAAAGTGCTGTCGATTTGGTCGAATCCGAGTCTTGGATTCGAAATAAACAGTTTCTAAGCTGAGATTCGGACTCATTGTCAACACACCCGATTACCTACTGGTAACTCAAAAATATCGAAACAAAATTTTTTTTAATTTTTTGGGACCAGTAAACTAGAAGGTTACCAATTCTTCGAAGAATATTTGTGATTTTTGGATATAAAGATCGCTTTAATCCAGTCCGGATTTTGTGGTTTCCTAAATCCTAAGTCAAGATCAAAGAGATTTTCATATATTTTTTTGACTCGGGACAAGAAACTATTCGGGGTCCTCAATTCGAAATCTAGGGCAAATTGATTTAAGGTTCTTTAGACGCGTGATTATGGAAATTTTGTCCCTATTTCTCTGCTTTTTTGCAAATCACACGCCTAATTATCTAATTTTTTTTGTTTTGCAGTATGAAACTAGTCTGATAGAAATCAAAATGAAAATTCAAAATACAGAAAAACAAATTCGTGAATTGGATACTCATTATAAAGGAAAAAGAGAAGAGAAGGAGACCTTAGTTAATGAACAAGCAGAATTGATAGAAAAAAGAACACAATTGGAACTTTCTGTTAAGGATTTACAAGCTGAAGTTGAAAGTGAACGGAGGGGGAAGGTTTGAAAATTTATTATTTTTAAATTGAACAAAGGCGGTTTTTTAATTTAAGAAATTTTACGAGGGGAAATTCGAAATTTATTATTAGAAAAATCACCCAATACTCAATCTAGACGAGATTTTAAGCTTAATGGGGGCTTGAGTTCCACCCGAAATGAGCAAAAGGGAAAAATTTGAATAGGGATTGAGCAAAAAAAGTGAATTTTTTCAAAGTACATGCCAAAATTTTGGCGCACACCCATTTGAGCCCCCCCCCCCCCCTAGAGATCGACTTCTGGCTACGCCCTTGCCAATTAGTGATTTACCCTCGCCAAACTCTAACTTCGGACTTCCTTATCTCGGCCCAAAGTCATTTTATAATAAAACTGATATCACTTAGAAAATTGGAGGTTCTCTATCGAAGGGTACCAAAAAAAATATATCAAATTCGCAGTCAGAAAATTTTCTTGTTATTAGAATAGTTTTGTTGATTTTCACAAAAAATCTTTTTTGAGGCTCCTATTCGTTCTCTCGTTAAGCCACTATTGTTAAGTCTAGGGTTGCCAAAATGGACCGACTCGAACCGAAAGATCGAGTCATGCCTCGATGTTTGGCCCGAAAAAGTCTCGTACCGGCCCGACTCGATAAATTTGGGCCCGAAAAAGACTCGTAACGGCCCGACTCGATAAAGTTAGGCCCGAAAGTGACTCGTACCGGCCCGACTCGATAAAAACATGCCCGAAAAAAATTGTCTCGGAAAAAGACGGCCCGACTCGAACGAGTCTCGATAATATTTTTCCAGATTTGTGGACAAAAATGGATGAAATCTGGCTCCTTGGCCTTCCAAAATTCGAAAAATTTTCGCCTGCGGCGCTGAAAAAGGAAGAAGTTTGGTCCTTAGCCTTCCGAATATCTCAAAATTTTTGCCTGCGGCGCTGAAATGAAAGATTTTTAGCTCCATACTTTGCTTCACATCTCGGACTTACTGGCTTTAATTGATAAGCTGGATTACTGGGAGTTATGGTATATATTCCGCGGGATCCCGTCATAATTTGAACTTTTGAACCTCAATCAGTTTTGAGAGTCCACAATTTTCCGCAGTCCGCAATTTTAACTTTAAAATACGCAGTCGCAATCTTCAGTCCACTAGTATTCCATTTATAGCGCCGCAGGCGAAAATGGTCGAAAAAAACTTCGACCATTCTTCTACTAATTTTTTCCCCCTTTCCCCTATTTCGGGGGGGGGGGTGGCTCTAGCAGCGCCACTGGACACGCCCTTGGATTAAGTGTACGAGGAATTTATTAAGTGTACGAGAATCAAGGATACGAGGAATTTTAGCATACAGCGGGATTTTATTAAGGGATTTGGTGATTAACGCACGATATACCTTCAAATCTCCTCATTCCTTCTAAATCCCATTACAAAATATCACCTTAATCATCTGATATACGATCCTGAACCCCTTAATCATCTGATCTCCTTTAATAAAACCAAATCTAGCAATATCTCACCCCAATCCTCCGGTAATTTAAATCACCTTAATCCCTCAAATCCACTGATATCCATTTCAATTCTCTTCAGCCCTTCCTTTACCCTCCTGATCCATCGATATACCTTTTAATTCACAGATATCCCTCCTAATCCACTAATTATTTTTAAATAAATCTTATAAAAAAAGACTCGAAAATGTCTCGGTGCCCGACTCGATAAATTTAGGCCCGAAAAAGACTCGTATCGGCCCGACTCGATAAAGTTAGGCCCGAAAAAGACTCGTATCGGCCCGACTCGATAAAGTTAGGCCCGAAAAAGACTCGTACCGGCCCGACTCGATAAAAACAAGCCCGAAAAAAAATGCCTCGACCGTCGGCCCGACTCGAAAACGGCAACCCTAGTTAAGTCGGTATTTTGTTTAACGTTTTATTCTAATTGTAAATACATTTTAATTAAATTTTTTAGAACGCTGCTGAAAATGAAAAGATAGGCATAGAACAAGTCATTGCTGAACGCCAAGCACAACTTAATGAACTTCAACCAAGATATCAACGATTGTCGGAAGAGGTTGTTTTTGCTGAATTTGTATTAATTAAAAAAAATTTTTTTAAAGGAAAGCTCCAAAGATTCTGATATCCGTATACTTGATCAACGTTGTAAAGAACTTTATGCAAAACAAGGACATTTAGATAAATTTAGAACAGTTGCAGAACGAGACAAGCATTTAAATGCTGAAATTCAGTGGATAGATAGACAATCAGATGAGATGAAAAATCAAATTGAAGAAATTAAAAAGTCAATTCGGGCAGATGAGAATGAAAAGGAAACTCTGGCTCAACGACTTCGGGTTTGGAAGAAACTTTTTTGTTTATTTTGGGGAAATCTCTGGTGCAGTTAGGAATGTTCCCTCTTATTGTTAGAATTTAAGTCAGATCCTGGGCGTTATACTCTCGAGGATTTCCAGATTTGAAAATTTGGGATATCCGGTTAAATGCTGGATGCAATCGAAAAAAATGAGATTACCTCTACATTAGATTACCTCCAAATTTTGAAAAATTACTCTCTCAGATGTGATATTTACCAAGAGCGTAGGCCAAAAAAATTTACTTTTCAACACCGCTGGCGAAAATTTTGAGGGTTGTAGGTGTAAAAAATTCACTTTTTTTTTATCATTTCTCTCCTAAATTTTTTTGTTTTCCCCATTTTAGGGGGGGGGCATAGGCCCGAAGCCCCCTGGCTACGCCCTTGATATTTACTAACATTTTTTTTTAGGAAGAAAAACTTCAACTCGAAGATTTATCTATCAAAATGAATAAATTAAGTCAAGAAATCAAACAAAAAAAAGAACAACTTAACAAAGCTATAACTCATCGAATGGATGATTCTCATTCAGAGAAAGAAAAGCGTGAAAAGTTGACAACGCTTCAATACGAAGTTAATAGAATGGAAGAAGATTTTAGGCGGTTGACTCCAAAAGTAAGGGGTTTCTAAGGGTTTAGAAAATTTTTAGACAAAATAAAAATTTGTAATAAAATTTGCGGACAGTTTGCATTAATTTGCGAACAGTTCGTATTAATTTGCGGACAGTTCGCATTAATTTGCGACTATCCGCATATTTTTTTAAATTAAATTTACTTCATAAAAAAATTTTTTTTCAAGGCTACTATGAATGGAATAACAAGTATAAAGACAATTCTCGAAGAATACAGAGATAAGAGAATCTTTCCTGAAGTTGTCAATGGTTATTATGGTAAGGAGTTTTAAGAACAAATCTATTTTTTTCCAAAAAATTTATTTAAAGGTCGTTTGATTGATCTTTTTACTTGTGCCCCAGAATTTAATAAAGCAATTGAAGTAACAGCTGAATCTCGTCTCTTTTACCATGTTGTCGAGAATGACGATGTTGCAATGAAATTACTTGAAGCTGTTAATGAACGTTCTCTGCCTGGAGAATTTAATTTTTATCCTTTAAAGCGAATTTTGGATACTCAACCTCGAGAAATTGTTGATCAGGTTTTTTTGGTTTTAGCTAAATTTGGGGTTAGGAGCTTTCTATTTCCTTTCTTTCGTTTTCTGCCTTAATCCGTGATCTTGTTGTTTCCTAGATCCAGAGCCATGTTAAGGATTTTTCTAGGATTCCATGATTTTTATTCGGCTCAAATTCGAGAATTTGTGCGAGATTAGCATTTTAAAATCAAGAATTATCTTTCTTGTTAAAGAAGGTTTTTTCTTTCAATCTCTGCCCTTCCATGAATAGCAAGGACGTATCTAAGGGGTCGATTTCTGCTAGGCTAAAATTGGGAAGCTTTTTCATTCAAAACAAAAAATAAATCATTCTAGGAAGCTCGTCCACTCATTGAATGTATGCGATTTGATCAAAAATTCAATCAAGTCTTCAAAATGGTATTTAAAGATCATGTTCTTGTGCCTAGATTAGATGTTGGTACACGTGTTGCGCGTAATGAGGCTTTTAATTGTGTTACTTTGGACGGTATGGAATTTTTCTGATCTTTAATAATTATTTTTAGGTGATCAAATAAGCCATCGTGGTCCAATGACGGGAGGTTATATGGATGTTAAACGTTCAAAATTGGATTTGATTCGAAAATTAAAAGAAGCAGAAAATGACAAAAATGATTTGGAGGTTTTTTAAGTTTAAAAATTATTTTAAAAAATTTTTTTAGAAAGAAATTGACCGCTTAACAGAAAGAATTTCTCAAAATCTTAATGGTGTAGATCAAATACGGTTGGAAATTTCAAAGTGTGAAACTCAAATTCAAACACTCAATAATGCTTATCACAATTGCTTGGCTAAAAAACAAATAACTTCTGAATTACTTAATAAATTATCGAACAATGCTGAACCTAAAGTTTGTTTAGAAAATATAAATTTTTTGTTAAATAGTCGGGGGAATCTGTTTGGACAAGGGGGTTATGCTGTCTTTATCTGTTGCAGAATTTCAATTCTGTGCTGTTTTTTTCTGTTTTCCGCTTTTTAAAATCCTTTGTAATGATCCCATCTTCGGTAGAGATCATGTTAAAAAGTGGGGAAGTTGTATGGACAATAGGATGAAGGATATCAGGGCTGTGCGTCATGTCGTTTTGGCGTGGCGTTTGGCGTCCATTTTTGGCCGATTTTGGCGTGTGGCGTGATTTAAGAATTTGAAAAATTGGCGTTTAGCGTTTGGCGCGCCACGTGAAAATTTTGGCGCACAGCCCTGAAGGATATTGTAAATACTCTTTCATTATTATCTGTTAGTTCGAATGTCCGGCAATTCGTTTTTTTACTTAAACTTTGTTATGTACAATTAAGTTACGTCTTTATTTATTATTTTCTTATATATTTTTGGTCCAAAAAATTTGCAAATGATTTACAAAATTTTATATAACCCTAAGAGTCGAATAATTATGCGGACCTTAAATTTCCTCTAAATTAAAATAATTTTTAAAATATTCTAAATTCAGAAAGCACAAATTACCAAACTCAACAATCGACTTAAAGAGCTTACTGCCCAAAAAGTATCAGTCAATAACCAACTTAAAGCTCCTTTGGAGGCTGGATTAACTGAAGCTGAGAGGGATAAAATTAATAAAATGGAGGTTTTTTTTTAAATTTTTTTGGCAAAAAAAATTTTTATTTGAAAGGATGACATTAAAAAGGGTAAAGATGCTCTTGAAAAAATTTCCAAAGATCGTGCTGATTTGGAAAATCGAATACAAACAATTAATAACGAATTACAACACAAATTATTTAAAAAACGAGAGCAATTGAATGCTGTAATTGAATCATTTGATGCTGGTGAAAAATTAAATCGTTTGGATGCACAACAATCAGAAATTAGACTTATTAATGTAAGAGTGAACAAGTTATTGGAATTTGTTGGAGGTTTATTTTAAAATTTTTTGAATTTTTTTAAATTTTTTTTGAGTTTCTTTTTGAATTTTCTTAATAGGAATTAGAGATCGAGTTTTTTGAATGGCCTGGACTTTGGGTATTGACCTGGACCGGATCCTGTGCCAGGAAAGACCCGGGAAGGTCAAAAAAATGCCTGGCCAGGACTTTGGGTACAGGAAAACCGCAGGTCTTGGTCCAGGCCCAGCTCGATCTCTAATATAAATCTAGCCACCATAAGAAATAACTAGTTCCTCATTTATTTAATTCCCGATTTTTGGGGGTCGGATAGACGTAAATGGATTTTAGTGGTCCCAATTTTTTAAATTTTTTTCTTGAAGGGCTGTTAGTCCGTTAAATATGCCTGTGTTTTCTCTTTTTAACATTTAAATAATTTCAAAATTTTCTTTTTCAGGATTAGATAAGAATATTGAGGAATATAGCATAAAGAAAGCAGCATTGACTGGTGCATTAGAAGAATTACAAGATGAGCAAAAGAAAGCGGAAAAGTTATTGGAAGACTTTGCTAAAAATGCTGAAATTTTTTGTACAAAAATAGCCAATCTTCAATCTAAAAGGGAAGAATATTCTAGAAAGGTTTGTTTTTTGTTTGATTTTTTTATCGTGTAATATTTGCATCAAATCGTGAATTTTTTTGGTCCAGTCATTGATTTATTATCTTGCTAAAAATAGGAAATTTAAAAATATTTTTAGGTTAATAACCTAAAATATTTTTAGGTTAAAAAATAAAAATATTTAGGACCTTTTGACCTGATTTTTGACATAAGTCAAGTAAATTTAAAAGAAGAGAAATTTTGGTCCTTTCCTAAATTTAAAAACAATCAAGAAACTAAAAAAGCCTTGATTTTACTCTGACTCCAGGAAATAATCAAAGTCTGAATCTAAATTGGTTTTATCTCTATTATCTAAATATCAGGGGTGTGGCATTTCGTTTTTCATCTTTCAGTATATTTTGGACTTTCATGTTTCGTTTTTTAAAATTTGTTTCGGCATACCCCTGTTAAATATTGTTGTGATAAAAAAAATATTCCCAAAATTTTCAAAAGAATTCTTGATCTAATTATGCTTAACATCATTTCCTAAATTAAAAAATTTTTTTGAAGATAAAAGAAATTGGTCCATTACCAGCAGATGCCCATGGAACTTATGATAAACTACCATTAAAACAGTTGGATAAAAGATTAACTGAAGCAATGAATCATTTAAAAAAATATGAAAATGTTAATAAAAAGGCTTGTGAACAATTTATTCAGGCAGCCTCACAAAAAGATGATTTGGCTAAAAGAGTGAATGAATTACAGAAAAATGAACAGGTAAATTGATGAAATTTTTGATTAATTGAAATAAAAAAAAAATAAGAGAATTTTCATGTCCAAGTTATAAATTGGACTTTAAAATTTTTTTCTAAAAATTTTTCTTCCTAGGCAATAAAAGACTTGTTAACAGTATTGGAAAATCGACGTTATGAAACTCTTCATTTAACATTTAAGCAAGTTGCAAAATATTTTTCTGAAGTGTTTCGTAAACTTATACCTAATGGATCTGCTAATTTGGTAGGAAAAAAATTTGCAAATTATTTTAATAAATTGATTTGGGGAATTGATTAATACGTCGTTATTTTGAACTGATATATTGTTTCGGTCGTTTTAAACTAGAAATGTGGCTTTGGGATCAATCAAGAGTAGTGATCGGACCGTACCGTACTACGGCCGTATTCTATCGGTATTTATTGGTATTCCATATTGGCAGAAATACCGACCGATCAAATTTTTGCCGTAATACGGGCCCTATTCCGTACCATACCACGTCCTTATTTTTCGGTATTCCGTATCGGTAGTACTCAACACACTTATCTAAATTATTTTTTTGCATATTTAATCTAGGGATTTGAATGACTAGAGTTGAATAAGGCCCTCAATTTGTGTTGATCAAACCGGTGTAGTATATTATTGTCCGCACATTTTTGTGTGTAGTCATTTTATTAAAAATAAATTTATTTTTAAAGGTAATGCAAACATTGGAGAAAAGTTTAAGTACTCGTTCTACAACAACATTATCTCATAGTACAACGTTGCAAAGTGGTGCTGAAACTGAAACTACAATTGGTGAACAACCATCTATGCCTGAGCGAGTTTTGCATGATTTGGAAACTTTTGTTGGGACGAGTATTAAGGTATATATAAAGGGAAATGGGAGTATTTCTGATACTTTTTTGTCATCGGATCAACGAGACATTAATAAAGAAGTAGAGGTAAACAAAATTTAACATCTTTTTGTAACCCAAATTACTCTGTATTTCCATTTGCTACGGAGAAACGGTGTGAAATTGACGAAGGGAGAAACTGGTCCGATAACAGGATATTACCAGAATTTTTCTGGAAAAATTTTTTTTGAAAAAAATTTTTTAAAGGTTTCATTTACTGGTGGTACAGAAACTAGAGACATTACTTCACTTTCTGGAGGTCAAAAAACTTTGGTTGCTTTAGCCTTAATTTTTGCTATTCAAAAATGTGATCCAGCACCTTTTTATTTGTTTGATGAAATTGATGCAGCTTTGGATCAAGAACATAGAAGGGCGATTGCTGGTAAGTGAACTAAAATTTTTTTGATTTTTTATTTGAAAAATAGGGGAAAAATATTTTAAAATGAATTTTATTTTGATTTTTTAAGATTATTTTTTTTTACGAGAAAAAATTAAATTTCCAAATATTATTACTGCATAAATTAAATGGGACTTTATTTTTATCTAAAAAAAATTTAATTTTTTCAAAAAATAATTATTTTTCTTGGAAAAAAATTTCGTCTTTAAATTTAAAATTAAGATGGGATAATTAACAGTCTACTAATCATAAATATTCTTTAAAAATCTAATTTTATTTAAAAAATTTTAGAAATGATACATGATCTTTCCCAAACTGCACAATTTATCACGGTATATAAATTAAAAAAAATTTTTCCTACCCAAATATTTTTCTTTTAAAAAAGACAACATTCCGTGCTGAATTGTTAGAACATGCCGAAAAATTTTATGGTGTTCGTGTACGTGATAAGGTGTCTTATATTGATGAGGTGAAGTTTTTTTTTAGTTGATTGAATAAAAAAATTTTTGTGTGTGAATAAGGGGATAATCTGTGGGGATATAAGAAATGTGCCATTCCGGCACCTAAATATCCGCAATTATTCCACTCCTGATAAGGATAAGGGGATAATCTGTGAGGATATGAAGCGTTTCTTTCTGATTCCCTAAAATTGGTAATTTATTTTTTTATGTTGGCACGATCACTGGTTGAAATATTTAAAAAAAATTTTTTTTTGGAGAAAGAATTCTTTAAAGATTTTTTTTTGGGGAAAGACAAATAAAAAATTTGGTTTCTTCCTTTTGTTCGGTTAAATAAAAATTTCTTTTCCCTTTTAAAATTAATATAAAATTATAAAAATTTTTTTAGATAGCAAAGGCGTCAGCTTTTGATTTTGTGCAAGATGATCAGGCACATACTTGAGAATTATATTTATTAATTTTGAGACAAATTTAAAAGAAATACTTATTTTTTTTTGGTTACTTTAATTTTATTTTTTTTGGAATCTTAATTGAAATTTTAATTATTTATTTTGTGTAAGGTTGGTGATTTTTTCTGGAAAAAATTTTTTTGTTTTGAATTTTTTTAAACGGCCAGAAAATAATCCTCTTGAATATTATTTTTATCAATTAAAAAAAAATTTTTTTTTAATTGGTTGTCTACCCTCCCTATAATCTCTTTAAAAAATTAAATCACTAGACCTTTTAAATTTTTTTGCCCCTTACAAATATTTAATATTTCTCTACAAATTTTGGATCTCCTCTCTATTTTAAACACACACACATATAATTTATGTTTATTTTAAAAATTTTTTGGAAATAAATTTTTTTTGTATTTGGTTTTGAATTTTTTTAAATTAATTTTTGAATAATTAATTATTTTTTTAAATTTTTTTGTTTAAATAATTAGGAAAAATTTTAATTAATTTTATCATTTCTCGTCTAAAATATATTAATTTATTTTTTTTCCCAATTAGAAATTACCAGTCTTTTAGTACATTAATTAAAAATAGTCACACCATTTTTGATTTGAGAATTTTGTGGGAATATTTAATTTTAATTTAATACTTTTTTTGGAGAATTATAAAAATACCGAGTGTTTCAATTGCGCGTCTCCCCACAAATTTTTTATTTTTTAAATTTATTTGTAAATTAAATATGCGTCCATAACAATGTCACGGGTTACGCGAAGCAGGCCTTTTCGCCCTGAAACCCGATCCGAAAAATTTTTTTGGAAAGCCGACCCACACACTACCTGACTTTTTTCTAACTTTTGACATCCCTAGTCCGTGAGAATACACGTGATAATATACGTGTTTGTGTTCTTATTTTGTGTTCTCATGGAAACTTGTTCGTTTTACTCTTTAACAAATAAACACAAAAATCAATCATTTAATATTTATTTAAGAATTAAGGGGAAAAATTTTTTTGTTGTAAAATAAATTTAATCTTTTGTCAACTAAAATATTGTTACATTATTTTAAAAAACTTTTTTATTTTAGAAAAAAAATTTTTTTTTTCGTCAATACCTACCTATATTAATTTTCTAAACAAATTTCCCCCCTTCCTCTGAAAATAAAAATTCCCCAAACTATAAACAACATTTTTTAATGGACGTATTTAATGCTGGTTAAATTTAGTAGAGTATGAATTATTATTTTTTAAAATTAATTAATTTTTAAGTGAAAAGAGGAATAAATTTAATAATTTTTGAATTTAATCGTTCTCCCTTCCCCCTCTTCAATAAACCAAATAATGGCAAAAATTGAAATTTTGGTTAAGTGGGTAAGAGCGCTGACTCCACCATTCGCCTATAAATAAGGGTACCGGGTTCGAATCCTTTCGTGGTTAATTAATATTTTTAATTAAGTTAAGATTGTAAGACATGAAAATAAACGTTTTCGAAAAATATTTTTAAGTCGTAGAATTTTTTAAAAATTTTTAAAGGCAGAAATTTCCAAAAAATAACATATTTTTCTACTCATCGTCTTACCCTTCCTCTTATTTATTCAGCAATAATTCCAAAAACTTTTTTATTATTCCAACAACTCCAAAAAATATTATTTTTTTTATTTATTATTAATTTATTTATTAATTTTATTTCTTAGAAAAAAATAATGTCTCAAAATTCCTCTTCAAAATTTCAATGTGAACTATTCCTTTTACCCCCCACATTTAATTCTTCAACAAAAAACAATTTAAATATTAAAATTAAACAAACTTTTTTATTTTCTCCTAATAATTTAGAAAATTTATTTCTTCCAATTTCTCTTTCTGAGGACAGCAAAAAAATTTTAAAAATATTTCCAGAAGATATACTCTGTTCAAATCGTTCCTGTTTAGGAAGAGGTGAATTTTCTTGATTTCTCTTTTAAGTAAACAATTAGATAATTGAAAACTCCTAACCTCTCATAGAAAATATAAAAATTAAATTTTAATTAATTTTCCGAGGTTACTAACCGTGTACCAGTCACATACCACCAAAAGGATCCGAACCCCGCTTATATACGGGCGCATTAACCAACTAAGCCACAAGTACCAAATTGAAAAGTGAATACGAGTCTCTGCCTATTTTAGGATGCACTGATCGTTTTCATTTTTTTCTTTACTAACGAATTATAAAAATATGTATCTAATTTTTCCAAAAAGAAAATTAAAAATCAGAACAGAATTAATTCTACATATTTTTTAGACAATTCCCCACCTCAATTTTTATTTGTTGCTTATCCACTTTATCGAGAAAATAATAAGAATGAGCAGAGGCGAAGAATACGTCTACAAGCTAAATTAACTTTATTATCTAACAACAAGGACGATTTTATTATTTTTGAAAATGTTTTTAATAAATGGATTGGGTCTTTTATTGGTAAATAAATTAAATTTGAAAATTAATTCTGATTTTGTTCACATTTCTCATAATTCTCTCACTTATTTTGTCTTGTCCATGAAAAAATTTCAGAATTTATCAGAATAAAACTAGAAATTATCAGAATTAAACTCAGAACTATCAGAATTAATATCAGAATAAAATCAGAATTTGTTAGGATAAAATCAGAATTTGTCAGAATAAAATCAGAATTAAAATCAGAATTTATCGGAAAAAATCAGAATAAAATCAGAATTAAAATCAGAATTTATCGGAAAAAATCAGAATTAAATCAGAATTAAAATCAGAATTTTCGGGAAAAATCAGAATTAATATCAGAATCTATCACAATAAATCAGAACTAAAATCAGAATAAATCAAAATATATCAGAATTAATATCAGAACTTATCAGAACAAAATCAGAATTTTACCTACTAATTATTTTCCCCTTTTACCTTCCAGCCCCCCACCAACCACTAACAAATTCATCCACTCGTCGAAGAATACTTGTTTTACTCAACCCTTTTAGTGGACAACAACAAGCTTTAAATCTGTGGGCAAATGAGGTTGAAATGATTTGGAGAGAAGCTGGTTATCAAATTGAGATAATTGTTACTGAACGGCCTTTTCACGCGACTGAGTTGGCAGAGCAAATTTGTTTGAATAGAGTGGATATATTGGCACTTGGAGGGTAAGGGGGAATAATAAAAATATTACAGAATTATTTTCAGAACAGTCAGAAAATACCAGAATTAATTTTTTTAATCAGAATTAATTTTTAGAACAAATCAGAAAATACACGAATTATTTTCAGAAATAAAATCAGAATTAATTTCAGAACTATTTTCAGAATTAATTAGAAAATACCAGAATTAATTTTTAAAAAATCAGAATTTTATCAGAATTTATTTCAAAAAATCAGAATTAATTTTCAGAATAAATCAGAAAATACTAGAATTAGTTTAATAAAATCAGAATTAAATCAAAATTAATTTTTAAAAATCAGAATTAATTTTCAGATTAAAATCAGAATTAATTCTGATTTTAATTTTACTATCAAAATTTTAATTAATCTCATTTTAGAGGCGACGGAATTGTTTCAGAAGCGCTTCACGGTCTCTGTTCCAGAGCAGATCACGAGCGCGCTCTTCGCCTCCCAATTTTACATTTACCTATGGGTACAGGGAATGCTTTAGCTTCTTCAATTGCTTACCAGGCAAAGTGAAAATTAAAAATTTTTTTTAATTTTTAAAAGTCCCTTCCTTTCAGTGAACCTTTCCCTCCACGTGGCTCTTTTTGTCAACAAATGGCTTTAATGGCTATTCGGCCAAATTTTAATCGTTTATGTCTTTATCAGGTAGAAATTGAAGGTGGAAGAAGAAAAGGACAAAATAATAAAAATAATAATCAATGCAAAATAATGTTCCTCTCGTTAAGTTGGGGGCTAATGGCTGATATTGGTAAGGAGGAGGTATTTTATAAATTATTGTGAAGGAAAATTAATTTTACTGTCGTAATCAGAATTAAATCTCATTTATCCCATCTTGCTAGTGAACAAATTTCAGAACAGAATATGTCAGAATAAAACCAGATTGTCAGAAAAATCAGAATTAAAATCAGAATTAAACCAGAGTTGGATTAGAATAGACCAGAAATTATCAGAATAAATCAGAATTAAAATCAGAATGAAACCAGAAAAAATCAGAATAAATCAGAATTAAAACCAGGGTATAATTTCGGAATACTGAACAGAAAGCAAATGGGTCAAGTTATATGTCATTCGAAAGAGCTCGCCGAGTTGAGTCGAATGGTGAAAAAATTTTCGTGCGGACTCATACAGGGGCTGAGATACAGGTCCCCGAAAATCGAAAAACCATAGGGGGGACCAAGCACTTTTTTGGGGTCAAAAATTCGAATATGCAAATGATAGCTCATTCGAAAGAGCTCCTCGAGCTGAGTCGAATGACACCAAAATCAACGAAATCCGACTTGCTTGGACAAAGTTATGCTCTTTTATTTTAGCTCCTTACCTATGTCATCTGTGGAGATTTTTGCTGCTACGGAGGCCCCAAATAAGTCCAGAGCAAGGGAGATAGGAATAGGTTTATGTTACGAGCCCAGACCCATCGCCCGTAGACTCCCCGCGAGGCGCGTGCCGCAAAACCCCGCGCGAAGCGCGGGGTTTTGCACAAGCGCCTCGCCGCCGACCCATAGGTTTAGGTTTTTTTGTCGTAACTTTGTCTAATCTTGTTTAATCACGGTGATTTTGGTGTCATTCGACTCAGCTCGTCGAGCTCTTTCAAATGAGGTATAATTTACATATTCGAATTTTTTGACCCCAAAAATTTCCAAATTTCGGGGGTCTGTAACTCGGCCATATGAAGTCGGATTTCGTTGATTTTGGCGTCATTCGACTCAGCTCGACGAGCTCTTTCAAATGAGGTATAATTTACATATTCGAATTTTTCACCCCCAAAAACAGCTTGGTCCCCCCTATGGTTTTTCGATTTTCGGGGACCTGTATCTCAGCCCCTGTATGAGTCCGCACGAAAATTTTTTCACCGTTCGACTCAACTCGACGAGCTCTTTCGAATGACATATAGTTTGACCCATTTGCGTTCTGTTCATATTCCGAAATTTTTCCAAAACCAGAAATTATCAGAAAAAATCAGAATTAAAATCAGGGCTGTAGTGTAGTGTACCGGTGGTAAAAGTTCGAGACGTGATATATGTCATTCGATTCGTCTCGACGAGCTGAGTCGAACGGTACCACTCCCTATTTTAGGAAATAATTCTGGACCGAGTTATAGGTCCCGGAAAAATGAAAAACCATAGGGGGGAGTAAGGTCGATTTGGGGTGAAAAATTCGAATATGCAAATAATAGCTCATTCGAAAGAGCTCCTCGAGCTGAGTCGAATGACACCAAAATCAACAAAATCCGACTTGATTTGACAAAGTTATGATTGTTTGTTTTAGCTCCTTACCTATGGTCTCCATGGAGGGTTTTGCTGCTACGGAGGCTCCAGGTATGCCCAGAGCAAGGGAGATAGGAATAGGTTTATGTTACGAGCCCAGACCCACCGCCCGTAGACTTCCCGCGAGGCGCGTGCCGCAAACCCCCGCGCGAAGCGCGGGGGTTTGCACAAGCGCCTCGCCGACTTTCCATAGGTTTATGTTGCTTGTTTTTTGTGTCGTAACTTTGTCTAATCTTGTTCAATCACGATGATTTTTGTGTCATTCGACTCAACTCGTCGAGCTCTTTCGAATGAGTTATTATTTGTATAAAAAATTTTTTATTCCAAAAATCGCCTCTTTGGATCTTCGATATTTAGGGGCCTATATCTCGGTCCAATCAAGTCAGATTTTGTTGATTTTGGTGTCATTCGACTCAGCTCGAGGAGCTCTTTCGAATGAGCTATTATTTGCATATTCGAATTTTTCACCCCAAATCGACCTTACTCCCCCCTATGGTTTTTCAATTTTCCGGGACCTATAACTAGGTCCAGAATTATTTCCTAAAATAGGGAGTGGTACCGTTCGACTCAGCTCGTCGAGACGAATCGAATGACATATGTCACGTCCCGAACTTTTACCACCGGTACACTACACTATATCCAAAATCAGAATGAAACCAGAAAATATCAGAATCATCTAGCCTACATTCTCTGTTGCTGTGGGTAGGTTGGCGTATCCTGGGGAATCTTCGGATATCCGGACCCATCAATCTAACGTGTGAATATAGCAACAAAATGTTTCCTAAATTTTCTAATTTTTTTAATTAAGACATTGGAAGTGAACGTTTTCGTTTCCTCGGAATGGCACGTCTTCATTTAGAAGCTTTCCTTCGAGTAGCCTTCCTTCCATACGTGGCAAGATATAAGGCTCGAATATCTTATTTGCCTTTACCTGAAGGACGGCTACGTAATAAAATAATGGAAAAAATGAGAATGAGGGTTGAGGAGAGGAGGGAGGAAATTGAAAAAGAGGAAGAAGAAAATGAAGATTTTGAGGAGATGATTAAAGGAATTGAGGTGAGGAAGTCTATGGAATTTTTAAAAAAACAAGATTATTATTTGCGGACAAACATTTGCGGACAAACATTTGCGGACAAACATTTGCGGACAAACATTAGCGGACAAACATTTGCGGACAAACGTTTGCGGACAAACATTGCGGACAAACATTTGCGGAAAAATTTTTGCGGACAAACGTTTGCGGACAAACATTTTGCGGACAATATTTACGGACAAACATTTACGGACAGAGCCAGAATAGACCTTTAATTAATCCACGTCCACTGAGTCTTGGGTAATACTTTTTGTTACCGTCGAATACATATACTCCTTGGAACTGAAGAATCGTATTTAAAATGAGGAGTATATCTTAAAATAAGAATATCACTTGGGTATTGTCCGCAATTAAATTTGTCCGCAAATTTATATCAACATTTTATTTGTCTGCAAACGTCCACCCGCCGATAATGGCATTCCAATTTAAAAAAAAAATTTTTTTTCACCAGATACCTCCACTCGATCAACCAGTCCCCTCAAATTGGCAAACAATTGAAGGTGTATTTTTTGTTTTTTTTCTGATTTTTGACAATTAAATTTTCTCTTTTCAGAAGAATTTTGTTTTGTTCACATTGCTGCCCTTTCCCATATTGGCTCAGATCTTCCTTATATTCCTAGTGCAAAGCTTGATAACCCTGTACTTTTTCTTACTTTTGTTCAATGGAAGAAAATTTCTCATAGATTACACATGGCAAAAATATTGCTTAGGTAAGGGAGGTCTTTTAATTAGAAAATATTCCTTTCCCTTTTTAAGTATTGATACGAGTGCTCATTTAAATGACCCTGCATTTGAGGTGAGAAAACTAAAATAATAAGGGTTCCCCCTCAAGAAAAATCAGAATTTGACAGAATAAGATCAGAAATTTACTAGAATCAATTTCAGAATTTATCAGAATTTATATCAGAATAAATCAGAATTTTTAAAATAAAATCAGAATAATTCTGGTTTTATTCTGAAATTAATTCTGATTAAAATTCTGATTTATTTGAAAAAATTAGAATAAAATTCTGATAAAAATTCTGGTAAAATTCTGATTAAAATTCTGATTTTATTTTAATAATTCAGAATTTCTGATTCTATTTAAGAAATCAGAATAAAACATTTTTCCACAGATAATCCCCATTTTGGCTTGCCGAGTAAACCCAGAAAAGGATGCTGGCGGCTTGTTAGCATTGGATGGTGAAGCAGTAATAAATGATGGGAAGGTTAAAAAGACTTTATTTTTTTTTAACAATCAAAGTTTATTTGCAGAATTCTTCAATGTCCTTTCAAGTCGGTCCAGGTAATAATAAAAATGCTACAATTATTGGACGTCAAAGGAGATGAAAAGAGAACGGAAATTAATTTTTTATTTTAATGTAAATTCTTCATTTTTATATTTTTTTTTGTAAATATGTAGATAGAGGATAGATAAATTTATCGAGGTGTAAGGAGATCAATAAAAATATCAGTCAATTTGTATCTACAACAAATAGAGGAAGTGTTAAAGGAAATTTATAACAAAGGGAGGGGATTTTAGAAAGTTGCGGACAATTTTTTAAAATTGCGGACATTTTTTAAATTGCGGACAATTTTTCGTATTTTGCGGACAACAAGTTACGGATTGGAAATTTCATGTCTGAACCCTGGCCTTCCACAAACGTTGTTTGTACAATGAAAATGATACCCAACAGAAAGATGAAGTAAAAAAAGTCGAAAAATTGAGGAGAACGATGAAATTAAGGGGACAACAAAAACAAAAAACAACAACGTTGTCCTCGACAACACTCACCTAAACCTCAAAAAATACTCAATAGATAAACAAAACGAAAACTTTATTTTTTTAAGTGCCTTATGAGAAATTAACAAAATTATTTTTTTAAATTAACAAAAAATGGCACATTTTTCTTTTAGTCATCTTTGGTCCCCTCACATCTTCTCGTACTTGCGAACCGCCTTGACCCCGCCGCTCTCGCATGTAATGACCATTTTGCCATCTCCATCAACGTAGCGCTTAAAAAGAACAAAAATTTTTCAAAAAAATTTCAAGTTTCCCACCTCAATGTGGCTGTCCTTGTCCTTTTCACTGATCTTCTTCTGCTCTTCAACGAGCTTCCCATCAGTAAAAGTAAAGGTGCTCATCAATGTGCGCCCATCAGCGGTCTTCTGCTCCTTCGGTTCTCCAATTTTGAAGTCGCAAACCCAATTAGCGAAAGTTGAGGTGGAAGTCATCTTCCAGTTGTCACCATCAACTACAAACTCGAGAACGGCTAGAAAAATGAAAAATTTTGTTCGAAAGAATTTTTGAGAATTTAAAAATATTTTTACGTTTCACAGCGGCAGCAGTGGCACGAACGACCATTCCAACGCCAACCTCTTTGAGGTAGTCATTAAAATTGTCGGAGTCAGTAAGTTTCCACTTTCCGACGAATTTGTCAGCCATTTTTTTAATAAAAAATTTAGAAGGTTGAAAATATGAAAAGTCTGAAAAAATGAGAAAAGGAATTAAAAAGAAGATTTGCAATTGAAGGGGAAATGCAACAAACAAGCAACAACCAAACAAGACTATTAAAGGAATTCGATAAATACTTCTAATAGATTGTGTAAACAAGAGATAAGGAAAAATAAAAATTAATAAAAAAAACATTGGGAAAAACATAAAATGATCTTTGTTCATTAATTTGCTCCTTTTATAGTACAACTTTTTTAAACTTTAAAAACAGAACGCCAAAATATTATAATTTATTTTGGTGGAAATTTGAAAGAGGCTTTTTTATTTTTTGTTTTGGTTAAACTTCTCCGAAACTTTAACAGGGAATCTCGAAATTCAACTCGAACGCCTAACATTTGGGGAGGTCGAATGTATCCTGCCCGATGACGGCACGGCTTTTATCGAATTTGCACGGCTTTTATCGAATTTTTCGTTCAAACCTGGCAAGATTACCTTTGATTTCATTTGTTAATTTGGCTGACTCATAATCTGATTTATTTGTCCAATATTATTTTTAGAGAGCTAGCTGGATCTGGATCCAGACCTTGATTTTTCCTTGGTTCAGAGTCCAGATCAAGGCATTTTTCCGAGTTCCTTGAGTTTTTCTTGACGCAAGGTCAATAATCTGGTCAAGGTATCCAACCGAAATCAAGGTCAAGGGACAATGTTTTTTTGAAAATTTTGCTCTCTAATTATTTTTAAGCTTAGAATATCTTTAAATATTTTAGTTTTCAGAAATTTATCAATTAAAAATAAATTTACAATGGTTTTTGAAAATGTAGTTGCGGACTTGCTCAATCGTTTTTTGGGTTCTTACATTGACAATTTAAATGCTTCTCAATTAAATATTGGAATTTGGGGAGGTTTTTTGTTTTTAAATTTTTTTTTATTTTTATTTAATTTTTTAAGGAGATGTTAAATTAAATAATTTGGATATTAAAGAAACTGCTTTAGATGATCTTGATCTTCCCGTTAGACTTAAATTTGGTTATATTCAAAGTCTTGTACTTAAAATACCTTGGAAATATCTTTATACTGAGCCGACTATTGTTAATATAAGGTATCTTGTTTTTGAAGTTGTTTTAAGGCTTTATTTAATTTTTAAATTTACACAATTGAGCCAGGGGTGAGGTCGGAACGCCGGACATTTTTTGACCCAAAATCCGATCCCAAGGAAACTTTGAAAACTGACCTGACCTTTTCCTCAAAAATCCCTGTGGTTTTTTAATATGAGGTGTGTTCTAAATAGGCGGCATCACTCAGGTACCACCTCTACCCAGTGGACAAACAACTTTTCATAAACGTATAGTATCTTATCCAGTATACGGGCTGTAGCTTATATACATAGATGTCCGATTGTATAAATTTAATTGTTTTCAGTGAAATTTACATGATAATTGTGCCTAACCAAGGAATTGTGTATAACGAAGAGAAGGCTAAGAAAAATGAACAGGAGGCCAAGCAAAAGAAACTGGCTAGACTTGAAGAAAATAGAAGAAATAAACTTAGTAAGTTTTTTATTTAAATAGGTTTTATACTAATTTTTGTTTTTCTTATCAGAACAAAATATCCAAACAGACGATACTTTCACTGAAAAATTGGTTGCACAAGTTATTAAAAATTTGCAGATTCGAATAAAACGAGTTCATTTACGTTATGAAGACAAATTTTCTAATAGAGGAAGGCCTTTTGCTACGGGAGTGACTCTTGATTCTCTTAACTTTCAGGTTTTTTGATTTTTAATTTTTGCGGACAATTGCGTCTTTTGTCTGCAAGTTTTTTAGGTCTTTAACGGGAGGATATTCTTAAGGATAGAATTGACTTTTAGATGCACCTTGGGGTTGAAGGACTTTCTAAAAGCAATTTTGGTCACTAACAAAAGACAGTTTCTTGGGTAGGCACGATGTCTGACAAGGAACCATTCTTTACTGTGACTGCGAATTTGATATATTTTTTGGTACCATTCGATAGAGGACCCTCGATTTAATTTTGTTGTTTGCGTGTTTGCTTGCAAAATTAGCTTGGGCCGAGTTATGGCCATTTAAAGTTGGACCGATGAACCAACTATGTTTCTATTTTCTTTACAAATTATGCAGTAATTGTCCATAGAAATTGTTACCCATAGAAATTATTTTTTTATTTCTTATTTTTAGACAACCGATGAAAACTTCCAGTTGACAGTTCAAAAAGAAGCCGTTAAAATATTTTACAAGTAATTTAAATCTTTAAAGGTTTTTAAATTTCAAAAAATTTTTAAAGACTCGTTTCGATGAATCATTTAAGTATTTACTCTAATGCTGGATCTACTCTTATTTCTGATTTGCTTGATAAAAAAGAAATTACGAAGGCGTTGTGTAATTCTATTTCTACTGATACTAGTCGACCTGAAGGATATAAATATGGTTAGTTATTTTTATTAATTTTTTTGAGGGGTTAGGGTTATTTCAACAAAATTCAATGAATTATATTTTTAATTTTTGGGGCTAGGTTCTGGTTGTCGAAATTTTTAAAATTACTGACCAACCATTTTCAATTGTAAAGTTATTTTCCAGAGAATAAGGCTCATTATTCTGGCTAAATTTTAGAGTTAAAATTTCTCAGGGTTTGTGAGAAATATTTAAAAAATTAGAAATTCTGTGAAAAGTCATTTTGAGGGGTTGGGTCATTTTTTTGAGGGGTTGGGTAGGCCCCTCTCATTTCCTCCTTTCAAACTCAAAAAGCCTTTTATGTCAGCATATTTTAAGGAATAGTCCCCAAACTTATTTTTTTATTTAAATTTTTAGTACTTGAACCTTTATCTTTAAATGCCAAATTAAAATTAAATCAAAAACCTGAAACTGACGGATCTGACTGGACTATTCCAAAAGTTGATTTAATTTTACAATTGGAGAAACTTGCTTTGGCTATTGGAAAATTTCAATATCAAGATTTTCTTTTATTTTTGGAGGCACAAGAAAGATTTAATTTGTCAGCACAATATTTTAAATATAGACCAAATTTGATTGAATATAAAAATCATTACAAGGAATGGTACTAAATTTATTTTTTTATTAATTAATTTTGCTAACAATAACTAAAAATATTGGGCACCCTAATTTCTATTTTAAAGGGGAGCCAAGAAAAAATATTGAATAACAGATTCTGTCAAGAATAGAGTTGTTCCTCGATTTGCCCGTCCTCGCCCGACAATGATTTTTTAGACTCCATTCCTGTCCCGATCCCCGACATCCCTGTTGCCCTAAAAAGTTCTCTCCGACGGGTCGGATCTCTCCCCGTCCCCGCCCGACAATGATTTTTAGACTCCCGACTTTTATCCCCATCAAAATTTCTGACCTGATCCCCGACATCTCTATTATCCGAAAAATTTCTCCCCAACGGGTCGGATTTTCTTTTTTTTTACAATTAGTCAGGCATCTAAAAACATTTCCCTGATTTTTGAATACTTACAAGAAAGTTTTTTAGTGTAAAGTGTAGAAAATATACGAGTCGAAAAACGAAAAATTATTAACCCAAAAACTTGTCAAGTCAAAAAAATATTTTTCAATTTTATTAAAGGTGGAAATTTGCTTACAATTGTATACTCCATGAACATGTTAAACGACGTCGAAATAATTGGTCTTGGGAAAGGATGAACAAACATAGACAAATGGTTCGAGATTATAAGGAAGCTTGGATTGTTTTTAGAACGGAGAAGAATCCAAATGAATTGGTTAAAAAGACGATTGAGGTAAAGAAAATTTGGCTATATTACTGTTTATGAGTCCAATCGAACTTTTTGAGTCCAATCAAAAAATAATTGGTTTTCTTGGTGTTGCCAGTTTGGGGTATGGGTCTAAAACATTTCTTCATGTTCGGGACCTACGCCCACGATTTTTATTTTCCGAAATTTCGAGGGATGAGTAAGGAATGGTCCCAGACCCATTGGGCGTAGGTCCTGAACATGAAGAAATATTATGGAACTATACCTCTACTTTGAAATACCAAGAAAAATCCAATTATTTTTTGGTTGGACTCATAAAGTTCGATTGGACTCATAAACTGTAGTAGAGCCAAAAAAATTTTTCAAAAATTTTTCTCTTGAATTTTAGAACGTAGAAGAGACTCTCGATGTTTTTAACCTTAACATTGCTAGACAACAAGCAGAATTTGAAATTGATAGACGTGATGATTTAATACGTGTTGAGGATCAAAAACAGGAGGGATGGGTTGGTTGGGCTAAAAGTTGGTTTGTTGGAAGTGGCAAAAAAGCAGAGACGGAACAGACAGAGGCTGATGCAAAAATTATGGAAAAAATTGAACAAGCTGTTACACCAGAAGAAAAACAAAAATTATTTGAAGCTATTGACTATCAGGTTAATATTTTTTTATTGTTTTTTGTGGCTGTAACTTTGTGGGTTATGACAAAAGTTTTTTGGTCGAATTCTAAAGGTCTAGATTCGGGGGGTTTTTTCCGGGGGAATCATTCTATTTATTTATTTTTGTTGGGTAAGTTTATAGACTTTATATACGAAAAGCACATATGTATAAAATTTGTGATCTCTTCCACTTTTATCTTCCGCCGATTTCTGTCTTTCTTGCACTCCTGCCTTCCGGTTTTTAAATACGGTAGGGCCTATCCCTGGCATATCTATATCCTTTTCTTGCTCATTTTTTGGGCTGATTTTATTTGTATAGAAGAATTTCTATTTCTTGTATTATGTATTTTCTGTCAAAAATATAAACATAAAAATCTCTAGTAGCCCTGGCACTAATCATGTAGGATCTCAACTTTTGTTTACTTTTCTCTTTAAGGAAAATACTCCACCAACCGATTATCCAAAACATTTTGTTGAAAATCGAATAAATTTTGGCCTAGCATCAGTTGTAATTTCTTTAGAAAATGTTCTCGAAATGTGCTTTGCTGATTTGACAGCAAATTTGGATCATCGTCCATCTGCAAATGCTATCAAGTTTTTTTTAATTTTTTCTTATTTTTAAGCTTATTTTTTTAAAGGTATATTTCTTGTATAAAATCTTTTGAAATGAATGCCTTCCAAGAAAATGCAAAATCCCAATCAATATTAAAGATGACCGATTCTAACCGGCCTTGGCTTAAAATGCAAATTGAAACAAATCCTTTAAATAAAGATTTTGATCAATCAGTGGAATTACTTGTTGCGCCTATAATG